GAGGAAACAGCGCCCCGCGCTCTCACTCCTCCCGCTGCCCACCCCTCCCTCCCTTCCCGTCCCCGCCCCTGCCCTCCACATGTTCTCGCCGTTGTCGTCATCAGCATCACCCAGCAGTGCGCTTCGTGGCCCCAGAAGGAGCTCCACCGAAGGTCCCAGTGGCGCAGTCCGCATGCGTCTCCCGAACCCAGTACAACATTTCGTGGCCCCAGAGGGAGCTCCACAGAAGGTCCCAGTGGCGCAGTTCGCATGCGTCTCCCCCACACAATACAGCGCTTCGTGGCCCAATAGGGAGCTCCACCGACGGTCCCAGTGGCGCAGTTCGCATGCATCCCCCCCACCCACTACAACGCTTCGTGGACACATAGGGAGCTCCACCGAAAGTTCCAGTGACGTAGATCGCATGCGTTTCCCCCACCCTGTAAACTGTTTCCGGGCCCCATAGGGAGCTCCCCCGACGGTCCCAGCGGCGCAGTACGCATGCGTCTCCCCCACCCAATACAACGCTTCGTGGCACCATTGGGAGCTCCACCGAAGGTCCCAGTGGCGCAGTTCGCATGCGTTTGCTCCACCCAATACACCGCTTCGTGGCCCCAAAGGGACCTCCACCGAAGGTCCCAGTGGCGCAGTTCGCATGCGTCTCCCCCACACAATACAAGGCGTCGTGGCCCCAGAAGGAGCTCCACCGAAGGTCCCAGTGGCGCAGTTCGCATGCGTCTCCCCCACCCAGTACAGCGATTCGTGGCCCCATTGGGAGCCCCACCGACGGTCCCAGTGGCGCAGTTCGCATGCATCCCCCCCACCCACTACAACGCTTCGTGGCCCAATAGGAGGCTCCACCGACGGTCCCAGTGGCGCAGTTAGCATGCATCCCCCCCATCCAGTACAACGCTTCGTGACCCCAGAAGAAGCTCCACTGAAGGTTCCAATGGCGCAGTTCGCATGCGTCTCCCCCACCCTGTAAAATGCTTCCGGGCCCCATAGGGAGCTCCCCCGAAGGCCCCAGTGGCGCAGTTCGCATGCGTCTCCCCCACCCAATACAACGCTTCGTGGCCCCAAAGGGGCTCCACCGAAGGTCCCAGTGGCGCAGTTCGCATGCGTTTGCTCCACCCAATACACCGCTTCGTGGCCCCAAAGGGAGCTCCACCGAAGGTCCCAGTGCCGCAGTTCGCATGCGTCTCCCCCACACAATACAACGCTTCGTGGCCCCAGAGGGAGCTCCACCGAAGGTCCCAGTGGCGCAGTTCGCATGCGCGTCTCCCCTACCAATACCCAGTACAGCGCTTCGTGGCCCCAGAGGGAGCTCCACCGAAGGTCCCAGTGGCGCAGTTCGCATGCGTCTCCCCCACCCAGTGCAGCGATTCGTGGCCCCATTGGGAGCCCCACCGAAGGTCTCAGTGGCGCAGTTCGCATGCGTCTGCCCCACACAATACAACGCTTCGTGGCCCCATCGGGAGCTGCCCCGAAGGCCCCAGTGGCGCAGTTCGCATGCGTCTCCCCCACCCAATACAACGCTTCGTGGCCCCAGAGGGAGCTCCAACGAATGTTCCAGTGGCGCAGATCGCATGCGTTTCCCCCACCCAGTACAGGGCTTCGTGGCCCCGTAGGAGGCTCCGCCGAAGGTCCCAGTGGCGCAGTTCGCACGCGTGTCCCCCACCCTGTACAATGCTTCCGGGCCCCATAGGGAGCTCCACCGAAGGTCTCAGTGGCACAGTTCGCATGCGTCTGCCCAGTTTCGTGGCCCCAAAGGGAACTCCACCGAAGGTCCCAGTTGCGCACTTCGCATGCGTCTGCCCCACCCAGTACAGCGTTTCGTGGCCCCATAGGAAGCTCCACCGAATGTACGACTGACGCACTTCGCATGCGTCTGCACCACCCAATACAACGCTTCGTGGCCCCAGAGGGAGCTCCAACGAAGGTCCCAGTGGCGCCACTCGTATGCTTCTCCCCCACCCTGTTCAATGTTTCTGGGCCCCATAGGGAGCTCCACCAAAGGTCCCAGTGGCGCAGTTCGCATGCGTCCCCCCCCGCCCAGTACAGCGCTTCGTGGCCCCAGAGGGAGCTCCACCGAAGGTCCCAGTGGCGCAGTTCGCATGCGTCTTCCCCACCCAGTACAACTTTTCGTGGCCCCGAAGAAGACTCCTGTCCCAGTGACGCAGTTCGCGTGCCTCCCCCACCCAGTACAACGTTTCGAGGCCCATAGGGAGCTCCACGGAAGACGATACCCACAACTGCAGCACTCACAACTGCACACGGTTGGGTTCTTCACCAGGCTAAGTCGTTTTCATGTTGCTTTCGTTTTCTATCGTTTTGTCTTCTATCTGCCGCTGCTGCAGAACGAAATTGAAACGAAAACTGCCCACGAAATTGCCAAAACACAATTTAGGTCGACCCCTGGCTGGGACCCCAGAAAGTCGCCCCGGAAGAGGGATGAGGCCAAATCCGTTCACAAACGGTCCCCTGACCTCTCGTGGGGTCAACCTAAGGCAATTGTTCACCCCAGATCAGTGTTTGACTGTCCTGCGGCCCGAAAACCGCTCCCGGAGACGAAAAAAACTAACCTGGCGAAGGACCCAACCATATGCGGATGCGAATACCGTCAATGAAAAGCTCCCTATAGGGCCACGAAACGTGTGAGGGTTGTGCCAAAATTTGTCCGGTGAGCGCATGCGAAAGCAGCCACTTGGGCCGTCGGTGGAATTCCCGATGGAGCCACGAAACGCGTGAGAAGTGTGCCGAAATAGGTGCGGTGGGCGCATGCGAACGCAGCCACTGGGGCCGTCGGTGGAGCTCCCTATGGGGCCGAGAAACGTGCGATGGGTATTCCGAAATGAGCACGGTGGGCGCATGCGAACGCAGTCAGTGGCGCTTTCGGTGGAGTTCCCTATGGGGCCACGAAACGTGTGAGGGGTGTGACTAAATGGGAGACGCATGCGGGCGGTGTCACTGGGGCTGTCGTTGGAGCTCCCTATGGGGCGACGAAACGTGTGAGGGAGGTGACTAAATGGGTGTGGGTGACGCTTGCGGGCGGTGGCACTGGGGTCTTCGGTGGAGCTCCCCATGAGGCCACGAAACGTGTGAGGGGTGTGCCGAAATGGGTGTGGGTGACGCATGCGGGCGGTGGCACTGGGGCCTTCGGTGGAGCTTCCCATGGGGCGACGAAACGTGTGAGGGTTGTGCCGAAAAAGGTGTGGGTGACGCATGCGGGCTTAATCACTGGGGCCTTCGGTGGAGCTCCCCATGGGGCCACGAAACGTGCGAGGGGTGTACCGAAATGGGTGTGGGTGACGCATGCGGGCGTTGGCACTGGGGCCTTCGGTGGAGCTCCCTATGGTGCCACCAAGCGTGTGAGGGGTGTGACTAAATGCGGCCGGTGGCACTGGGGCCTCCGTTGGAGCTCCCTATGGGGCCACGAAACGTGTGAGGGGTGTGCCGACATGGGTGTGGGTGACGCATGCGGGCGGTGGCACTGTGTGGAGCTCCGTAGGAGGCCACGAAGCGCTGCACTGGGCGGGTGAAACCCAAGGAGGAAGGAGGAGGGGGAGGAGGCAGGAGCGGGGGAGGGCGCAGGCCTGAGGAGGAGGGGAACGCGGGGCGCCGTCTCTTCAAAAAGAGGACCCAGCACCACAGGATGGCTGGGAACCAAAAAACCTTTGATTACCCACCCGGGACCTCGAACCCGTCCGCCCTTCCCGACCTGAGACCCCGGACGGTTCCCAGGAGCGGGGCATGCCAGTGAACCCCATGCCGAGGCCACCAGGCCACCTGCCCTCGCGCAGCGCGCCCCGCGGTGCGCGACGCACGGCTGCCCTCGCGCCCTCGCGCCCCCGCGCCGGCCTCCTTCCAGAGGGGCTGCCGCTCCAGCCCAGACCGCGGCGCGCGAAGCGCGAGCACCTTCGCTCCCCCGAGGCCCCACGTACCATTCAGAGCTCCTGGGACGTCCCCACTGGTTCAGGATGGGCCGAAAAAGCGGGGACGCCAGGGCGGCATTGATGAGGCGGCGCATCCTTCTATTGATTCTGACTGCGGGCCACGGGGTCCTGCCCTGTCAACCCGCGCGCGTAGCTCAGGCGCGGCTCTGCGACGCGGGTCTGCCGTTGCTCTTTCCGTCGACGTGCCGCGACAAACGCCGCGACCCGCACCGCGACCCGCACCACGACCCGCACCACGACCCACCCGCGCCGCGCGCAGCCCAACCGCGGCCTGCCGCAGAGCAAGAAAAAGCATACGGAGGCGCCGCCAGGGGGGGCCCGAATGCCGATCCAAGAAATCCGTGCGGAACTCCGAAAGACTGTGTCTGCGCCGTTCTTGCTTCCTCGATTGAAAAAGCTATACAGGTGCCCTAATCCTATGGGAGAAGACCAAAAGTTAGGAGAGCCAGACGCATTAAGAATAGGAGGTCTTTTCTGCAGATGTATCAGAGCAGACCTCCCGGATGGACTCTCCCGAATGCGAAGACGGGGACCTAAGTGAGGCCACGTCTTCATCGTGTTTTTTATTATTGCCACGTCTTCATCGTGTTGTAGAACTGTTTCTTTTGCTCTCGATGGTCGATGCCTGCGACCCACCCGCGACCCATTGACGACTCGCCCACGCTGCTCCGAACAAAGGGCTCGGAGCCCGGAGCGGGCTCTTGTGCGACGGGTTGGGTCGGAGTCGAGCCCAGGGTGGAGGTCAGAGGGGCGGGCCTTCTCAGACGGCTCGGAAGGCCTCGGGCCTCCTGAGAAGTTGCCTACGCACAGTCGGACCTAGGCCAGGAGAAAATCCTTCAAGAACGTGAGACCCTCCGAAGGCCAAAACACCCCAAACCCTGGGATCATTCGAGGCTACCCTCCACCACAATGCACAAGACCATCCAACACACACGAAGAACATCAGGGCACGCTCCCCGAACCGACCTCGATCTTACACCCTCGGTCCGACTGTGAGCATTCTCCGAAGGCACAGACGCCCTCTCGGAAGGCGAGAGGGCTTATGACCAAATCTCGCCGCCTTCTGAGAAACCTTGCCCCCTCTCACTACCCCCTGGACGCGCCGCCGATTGGGAGAGCACCTCCTGCGACTCGCCGACGACGCCGGACGTCGCGCATCGCGCCCCGCGGACCGTGGTGAACGTCGCGCCCTCGCGCCCTGACGTTGCCCTTTCCGGAAACGGGCAGCTCTCCAGTCCAGACCGCGACGCGCGAAGCACGATTATCTTCGCGCCCCCGCGGGTGATCTATAGAAAACGGCGCCGCCGCCACCCTGGTCAACGCCACAGCTGCACATCAAAACAAGCGGAGCAGCCTGACAGGGCGGGCCATCCTCAACTGTCCTATCATTTGCCCCTCCCCTTTACCCTCTCCTCCCCTATCTAGTTGTGCCATCCGAGAAGCCTACATATTCCTTCGTCGTCGCCTCTCTCCCACTCTCGCTTCCCCGTCTCATCCCCCTCCTCATTATCCTCCTCCTCCTTCTCCTCCTCCGCTTCTCAATATATGGATGTACTGACGCAGATATATCACTTACCTTTGGACCCGACATCTGCTATAGCAGCACGCTGTATACTTACCGGAATGTATGTGAACTCTCACTGTGCTATCACTCATGCCACAAGCCTGCCCACCGCCTGCCCATACTCCGAATTGGGCATATGATATCTGAAGTGAGGTTTGGCAGAGCTACGTTGGCGCAGCCCCTCTCCCCGGCCGATCTACCATCGCGAGGCCCAGGACTGTAGGAGGCTCCGGCCCACCCCTTTGAAGCATAGTTTCAGCGGCACGGGAGTACACTCCTTCTCTCTATCACAACCGTCCACCACAATGTCACGCTCGCAGATCGACGAAGTGCACTGGACTGTGCTGCCTAACAAGACCAACGCAGCGAGACTGACGGAGCTGATGTCATGATGTCACGCGTTCCCTGCAAGGAACATGTGAACCCAAGCCCACAAACACACACGAATACAGACGTCGGAGGGCAAAGCCGTGCCGATTGGTTCTCCGACTGCAAGACGCTCCCTGAAGAACGCTGCTGCACCGCGGGGCCGTCAGAAGCTTGGCGCGCGGGACGCCCATGTCGTGGCAGGTCCTGGCGTCGCCACTCGAACAAAGAAACGCTGCAGCAGGCTCGCGCATGGACACGGCGTACGGGAAAGTTCTCCCGAAGAAGAGAAGCACGCGACCCTGGATATAGAGATCGTACCCCCAATCCCGACTTCAGAGGAACAAAGAGAACATGCATGAACATACACACTGTCGGAGTTCCGCGCGAATTTCTTGGAGCGCGCGCCAGAGACGCCGCCCAAGGGGGGGCAGCGCCGATCCAAGAAACACGCGCGGACCTCCTGAAGTATAGGGTCGTGCAATCAGTTCTTCTCCGATTGGACACGTTTTTATGTACCCCGAACCCCGACTTGCGTTTGAGAAGGCCCATCTGGCATCGAACGTCCGAGGGTGCTCGACGAGCGCCTCTACCATTGAGCGTCCCTTGGAGGCTGCGGGCGTCCACGGTCAGGATCGCCCCCAGTCCAAAAACGCCGAATCCACGGCGGATTGATCTGGTCGCACTCGCCCCCGAAAGAAAACACGATCATCTCTGCAAACAGCCGTCAAGAATCGGCATACCTCGCAACCACCAACCCTGGCGAATGCGTCGAGGCGGGCCCGAGCCCTTCGGCAACGAGCCACCCCCGAGAACAAGATACGCACCACCCGCCCCGTGGTTGAACGGGGGACACAAAGGCTTGAACAAGAAACAAATGCAGAGCCGCGACCCGTCAACCGCCCCCGACGAAATCCCAAGAAGCTGAAACCCCAAGGTTCCCCAGAAATCGCGCGCGTTCGGCAAACTTCGTGGTTCACTCTTGCTGCAGCCCCAAGGGGTCGGCGGTGCGGCGTCAGCCAACGAATAAACAAGTGTAGCAAGACGGTAAGCGTATTTTTATTCCAGGGCTCGGCATTTGGCCGAAGGGTGGGGGAGAGGGGGGGCGGTCTGGGTCTGGGCGGGTGCTTGGTCGATCTGCTTCTGCCAGCTGCGCAGGCAGACTGGGGGAGAGGGGGGCCTGACGGGTCGCCAGAAGCGGCCGCCAAGAGCAATCAGCACATGGTTCAGTTCGGGGCGGGGAGGGGAGGGGGGCAGGGGCCAGCGCCGATCGGTGAAACGATACATAAAAAACAGCATCGCGAAGCTGCTTGGCGGGGGCCTGCCAGTCGCTTTGACTGGGCGGTCTCACTGCGACAACCGCCCGTGGAAGGCTCTCTAAGGAGCCCCCCACTCCTGGCAGCTCCTCTCTGGAGGCGCCGAAGCCTCTTTGATAATTCCAAGACGCCTGATGGGGGGCGTGGATCCCCGAAGGCGGCCGTCAAGCGGAATCTCTGGGAGACCGTTGCAAAACAATATGCGTCCTCCACACCAGGGTGCAGGCCGTAAAACTGCAAAACACCACCATCTCAACCGTTCTAAATCACCGCGTGGGCAAAAATATCCTGGCGAGGGGCCCAACCATGAACATTTGTGAGTATCACCGTTGTGGGTATCGCCTTTGGTGGGGTGTGCCGAAACGGGGCGGGGACGCATGCGGGCGAGCCACTGGGGCCTTCGGTGGAACTTCACACGGGGCTACGAAACGCGTGATGGGTATGCGGAAATGGGCGGGGGCGACGCATGCGAAATACGCCACTGGGGCCTTCGGTGGAGCTTCCGACGGGGCCACGAAGCGCGTGAAGGGTGCGGCAAAAGGGACGGGAGGAGACGCATGTGATCACAGCCACTGGGGCCGTCGGTGGAGCGCCCTATGGGGCCACGAGACGCCGTACTGTGTGGCGATAGACGCACGCGATCACAGCCAGTGGGGCCTTCGGTGGAGCCCCCATATGGGGCCACGAAATGTACTGCGTGGCGCGAAACCCACGTAACCACAACCACTGGGACCTTCGGTGGAGCTCACTATTGGGCCACGAAACGCTGTTCTGGGTAGCGCGGAGCGCATGTGATCACAGCCACTTGGGCATTCAAGGGAGCTCCCTGAGGGGCCACGAGACGCCGTACTGGGTGGCACGGGACGCATGTGATCACAGCCAGTTGGATTTTCTGTGGAGCTCCCTATGGGGCCACGAGACGCCGTACTCGGTTGCGCTTGACGCACGTGATCACAGCCAGTGGGGCCTTCGGTGGAGCTCCGTATGGGACCAAGAAACGCAGTACTCGGTGGCGCGGAACGCATGTGATCAAAGCCGCTGGGGCCTTCAAGGGAGCTCCCTGAGGGGCCACGAAACGCCATACTAAGTGGCGCGGGACGCATGTGATCACAGCGTTGAGATGGTGGGCATGCAAAGGGCAGAGGCAGTTGTGGGAGGAGGGAGGAGGCAGGGTGGAGGAGGAGGAGGAGGAGGAGGAAGAGGAGGAGGAAGAGGAGAAAAGGAGAGGAGAGGAGAGGAGAGGAGAGGAAAGGAGAGGAGGGGAGAGGAGAGGAGAGGAGAGGAGAGGAGAGGAGAGGAGAGGAGAGGAGAGGAGAGGAGAGGAGAGGAGAGGAGAGGAGAGGAGGGGAGAGGAGAGGAGGAGATGCGGGGCGCTACCTGTTCAAAACGAAAACCAAACACCACAGGATGGTTGGGGAAACCAACAAGAATCTCAGCCTTCTGCCGCCATGAAGGAAAAAGGTCCTCTTGAGAAGCGGGTTCTAGAGACCAGGACTTTCCGCAGCAGGACCACCTCCGCAGTCTGGGTCGTTTTTCGACGGTCTCAGGCAGCATTACCCCTCGGTCGGAAGAAGTGGGTATAGATCTTGACACCGCGTCGATCGCTCAATCTTGAACCGATCGCGGCCCCGATCGTTCAAGGCTGAATTCCGTCGGGTCCTGGGGCGCGACCGTGTCCCTCAGTGCTTCCGCGTCGTTCTATCATGGGACGCGCAGAGACATACTAGTACTATATGTCCACCTTGGAGGCGCGCGTCCGACCCGAACGTTTAGTATACCCATCTTGTAGTATCTCGTTTCCCCAGCGGTGTGGCCAGAAAACGTCCGCCACGACGCACATACTATAAGATTTCTCGGCGCGCGCGTCGCCCCTGGGGGGGCGACACACATGTAGTATAAGTATGTCGGGGTGACGCCGATATCATGCGGAATTCAACCTTGAACGCCGTCGACGGCGCCGTCGACGTGCCATCGCCGCATCATCCTACAGTACTTCCAACGACCGGCGTGTGAGGGCTGCTGGCACGAAAACGGAGAAAGACTTCCCGGGCATGATGGGCCTGTTTTCCACCACCACCACCATCAGTTGGAGGGGGGAAGGAGGTGGGGGACGAGAAGGAGGAGGACGAAGAGGAGGAGGAGGAGGAGGAGGAGGAGGTGGACCCCCTCCCCCTCCAACTTATGATGGTGGTTGTGGAAAACAAGCCCATCAGGGCACCCCTCCTCCAGGACACGAGGTTCCTTCATGCTCGGGGGCTGGACCAGTCACATCCCGGGGGCTTCCAAGCTTTCAGCGCGGATCCAGCGGTGGCGAGGAGAACGCTCCAGGAGGCCGAAGAGGTCGCGACGGGTGGCCCCTCGCAAGAGGTAGGACGCCCACTGAGGGAAGACTTGAACTGCCAGGGCGCAGGGGGACCAGCACTGCGCGCACAAATACCGCCCTATACGCAGCCTGGTATGCCCGGAACCCATGCGCGGACACATGGTATGAACAGATCGGCTGGCTGCGCGCACGAATTCATCGCGAGCCCGAGAACGCCTCGGCGGGACAGCAGGAGGCCCCAGGGGCTCCCGCTCAAGGCGGCCTACAGTGCAGATCAGCGCTCAGGGAACACACACATTTTCGCAAGGTGCGCACTGCGACGGCAACAAGGTCAGAATCAAAATGGCCTCCGGGTCGCGCCGCAGACGACTTCCGCAACCGAGTGGGCAAAAGCAAGGGCTCCTAAGTTCGCGCTTCGCGCTGCGCGAAGCGCGAAGCGCGAATAACTTCGCGCTCTCGCGCCGCCCCCCAAGGGGGAGAAGAGGAGGACGAGGAGGAGGGGGAGGAGGAAGGAGGACGGCGAAGCGCGAAGCGCGAATAACTTCGCGCCCTCCTGGGAGCCCTTGCAAAAGAGGCCCCGAGGCGGGTGGTGCCAAGACCCTCCACCGCACCGTGTGTTGTCCGACGCAGCGCGGCAGAGGCGATCCGCACGCGCGCCCGAAGGCCAAGACCATCCACACCATCATAGGGAGGACCAAAAACGCACGATGTGATTGCTGCCGCAGGCCCTCCGCAAGAAACACGTAGACACAACAACACAGATCCGTGGCATGGAGATGCAATTCAGAATATTTGTTCCGTGAGGCACTCTAACACTTTCACCTAACCAAACCCTGCGCTCCGGCAAATACCCAATAAACGATAGAATCAATTGTACGTCGCTCGGTTTTCATTGCTTGAGGTCCCTTCCTTCCTCTTCCTCTTCATATTCCTATTCCTATGACTTGCTCATGGTATCGCTGGACTCGCCCTTCGATATGGTTCACACTGCCGCAGACGCCGACGCCGCTGAAACACTCCAAACGATAACCGACGCTTCCCGCTGCCCTGGCCACGTTCAGCGGGGCGTTTCGTTCTACACATGCTTCGAACCACGAAGGCCCCGAAACGGGCCAGCAGGCCCCCAAAGCGGCACCCAGAGGTCCCCAAACACAGCCCCAGAGAATTGTAGGAAGATGCGCCGGAAGTGGCCCAAGGAGGCACCAATGGGTTGGCGGTGCGGCGTCTGCCAATGAATCTGCTCGCATGCTCGAGCAATCTAACAGGCTGGGAGTGGGAGGCACCCGGGATTGGCCCCGAACAAATCTGTCAAGGAGGGGGGGATAAGAGCAAAGCCGATCAAAATCGCTCCCAGACCCCTCTCGGGGTCCATCTGGAACGGTATTCACCCCGGATCTGTTGTTGACTGCCCTGGGGCTCGAAAAAGGCCCACGAGGTAGAGAAAGACAAAAAAAAAACGATCTCGAACCCCGAACCTCGAACCTGCCCGCCCTTCCTGCTGGCCAGAACCAGTGCTGGGCCACCTCAGACCCCCAGACGGCTCCAAGACGAGGCACGCGTGATGAACGGTGGCCTTCATGTTCACTTGCCCGGCCTGGTCTCTTGCTCGAGCAGTCTTAAGTCGGGCCTGTCCCCTACAGGGGGATTTTCGACGAAAAATAAAAAATACCCTATAAATAATCAAAAATTAATCAAAAAATAGTCTGGGGACTATGTTGGGGGTATTGTTGGACCTTTTTGGGGTATGTTTGGGGCATGTTTTAAATGTTTCGTTGAAAATCCCCCTGTAGGGGGACAGGCCCGACCTAAGAGCAGTCTGAGAACGCTGGGGGAGCCCGTCCTGATCGCCTCCGAGAGGGCCCGCACGTCCCGCTCGGCCACGGCCTTCCTCACACCCTCCAGCCCGGCCTGCACCCGCTGGGCAGGCGGGGCAGGAGCGGGGCACGCACATCAGGTCAGACGAAAAAGATGACGAAAGCAGCGACAGCAAAACTATCCTCCTCCGCCTCCTCATGTCCCTCCTCATTCTCGTCATCATCATCATCATCATCATCATCATCATCATCATCATCATCATCATCAGCAGCAGCAGCAGCAGCATCATCAGCAGCATCAGTATCATCATCATCATCAGAAGCAGCAGCATCAGCAGCATCATCATCATCATCATCATCAGCATCATCACCTTCGCCATCATCATTGTCATCATCAACAACGTCATCAGCATCAGCATCGTCGTCGTAATCATCCTCAGCAGCACCACATGCATCATCAGCATCATCGTAAGCATCATCATCACCATCATCAGAATCATCATCAACATCGTCATCGTCACCATCATCAGCAGCACCATCAGCATCATCAGCCTCGCCATCAGCATCATCGTCACCATCATGATCATCAGCATCATCAGCAGCAGCAGCATCGTCATGGTAATCATCATTATCAGCAGCATCACCATCGTCACCATCATCACCATCATCATTATCATCATGAGCATCGTCATCAGCATCGCAGTCGCCATAATCATCAACATAATCTGAATCGGAATCGCCGTCACCATCATCATCGTCATCAGCATCAACATCACCATCATCAGCATCACCGTCAGCATCACCATCAGCATCACCATCACCATCATCATCACGATTAACATCACAATTGCCATCACCATCATCATCATCATCATCATCATCATCATCATCATCACCAACAGCATCAGCATCGTCGTCAGCAGCAGCAGCGTAACATCGGCATCAGCATCATACTAATCAGTATCAGTACTGTTACCATCATCGCAAACAATACAAGGACCATAACCATAAACTGTCGGAGGTCCACGCGGATTAGTTGGATCCGCCTCGAAGCCCCCTCCCAGGCGCGCGGGGGCCCAGCGCCGAATCTGCGTGGGCCTCATCACAACCACTACCACCAGCACCATCACAGTATCGTAATCAGCATCATCATCAACGTCAGCATCATCACCATAACCATCGTCATCGCCGATATCGCCAACAGCATCAGCATCGCAATCACCACTGTCATCATCATTATCATCATCAGCAGCATCATCATCAGCAGCAGCATCAGCATCGTCATCAGCAAAATCAGCATCACCACCACAATCACTATCCTCACCACAGCCAGCATCTTCAGCATCATCACCACCATCACCGCCACCAACAGCGTCATCATCATCAGCAGAACCATCACCGTTACCATCATTATGGTAGTCATGTCCCTCCTCATCATCACCATCATCATAGTCGTTCCCAGAATCATCACCACCACGACCATCATCATCTTCTTCATCATCAGCATCATCATCACCATCACCATCATCATGAACATTATCAGCATCATCATCATCATTATCATCATCATCATCATCACCATCATCATCATCATCATCATCCTCATCATCATCACCACCACCACCATCATGATCAGCCTCAACAGCAGCAGCATCAGCATCATCACCTCATCAGCATCAGCATCAACATCCTCATCCTCGTCGTCATCATCATCAGCAGCAGCAGCATCATGATCATTAGCATCGCCATAACGATTCGCCTTCATCCGCATACTTTCTATCCTTATATACCTCCCCCATTCCTCTCCGCACTCCACCTACCCTCACAATCCTCCTCCTCCTCAAAAGCGGCCGCGGAATGAACAGATAGACGACAGCGTGGGCCGTGGCTCTGGGCCAGCAGGATCTGCACGCACGCAAGTCCAAGGCTTAATTCTTCCAGAAGTGGCACAGCTCCTGCAACAGTTTACTGGGTCTCTCTACCCCTCGATCTCGAGTGTCGCAGCTCCAGGCCTTGGACATAATTCCCCATGCGCGATCACACTCCAGAACCTGACACGCGACTGCGATCGACAAGATCATGGTCAGCGGTCGGTGACTTGAGCGCAAGATTTAAAAAAGACTAGCTGGACGCCACGAAGCAGTGTTTTCTTTGCACAAGGCTTCAAGACATGCCCGTGGAGATGTGGCCGCGAAAGCCCCATCTGGGGCTGTCCCTCGACTTCGAGCGAAACAGCGAACGCTCGCAAAAAGCCTCCCGCACGCGCGGGGGAAGGGAAACGGGGGATAGGGGATCGGAAGGGGGCCGATTGAGACACAGTGGCGCTCCCGCCCGGCAGAAATCCGCTCAAAAGCATGCCCCAGATCCCTCCCGGGGCACGTCCTAACCCGCCTTTCGAAGCGGATCCACCCGTTGCGACGAGAGGCCTCCAAAAGGCCCAACAAATACGGAAAACGCCAGGCCGAGCCGTTCTCGTCTGGCCCTGCTCCGAGGAGGAATAGGGAGGGGGGAGCGTTGCAGCGACCAAGAGATACCGATCTCTCGGACATCTCCCGGAGTGTGCTCGGACCAGAACTTCGAAGCGAATCTAGCAGTGAATCCCAGGAGGCCCAGAAAAGCGGAAAAAAAGGGAAGGCTCCTCCTCCTCCTCCTCCTCCTCCTCCTCATCCTCCTCCTCATCATCAGCATCATCAGCATCTTCAGCGTCATCAGCATTAGCATCAGCATCAGCATCAGCATCAGCATCAGCATCAACATCAGCATCATCAGCATCATCGTCAGCATCATCATCATCATCATCATCATCATCATCATCATCATCATCATCATCATCATCATCAGCAGCAGCAGCAGCATCATCATCCCCTCAAGTCTGGCGTTGCGGAACAATTGCAACATCGGGAAAATCACGCCCAAAACCCAAAGCCCATCTTTCTGCAGGGTGTTTCGAGCCGGATCGATCCGTGAGGGCCCCAGTGCCAGAAAACAAGCAAAAACATCCAGCGCCAAGATCTCAGGATGCCTGCTCATGCCTCATCAATGGGTGCTTGCGCGGAGGGCAAGCGGCAAACGACTACAACCACGTCGAAGACGCACTGCGCATGCCAACAATCGTCGCTGGAACACGGGAACCAGATTAGCACATGTGGTCGATGTGGGCGTCCCAAACGGCCAAAGTGGCCACAACCACAACCAAAGTGCTCGTGTCGAGCAAAAAAGAGACCAAGGACACACTCAAATCGATAGACGCAAATCCCAGGAGTCCCCATGTGTTTTCATATTTTCTGGGCTGTCGCCTTCCCACCCACTTCCCACATGTTTCAACGCTTTCCTGGGAATCGACGTTCATTTGTGCCTGTGTTTTTCCCCCTCCCGATCGAGGTCGATGGGCTCTCCCCCGAAAGGGCCATCCCGAAAACGACCGCTTAGCTGTGGCGGTTGGGGTGCTGCGCTGTGCCCGGAGAGGGGGGGAGCGCAGGCCTCGTTGCCCAGCCTCGCGACGCGAGCGTTCGCGCAGTGGGAATTCTCGAGACAGACACAGATTCATGTAATTACCCTTCGGTCGGAAAACGCGGGTAGAGACATGGAAGCAGGAAGGCGTTGGAAATAGACTGGGCTCCCGCCCGCCCCCCGAAGATGAGGGACCAGGGACAACCGCGCGACTCTTGAAGTAGGAAAGCGGCTAGAGAAGATTGGGATATGGGAATACAGAAATATCTACTTCCAGCGATCAGCGTGTACGTCTACGTCCTTCTTTCGCTCCTGAAAGGGGGACGCATGGGACGCAGAAGGCCATACTAGTGCCATGTGTGCTCCTCGGAGGCGTGCGTCCGAACCGGACACACAGTACAAACATCTTGTCGAACACCGCTTCCTGAGCGGTACGGCCAGAACGCGACCGCCACGGAGCCTGTACTACAAGATTGCTCGGCGCGCGCGGCGCCCGTGGGGGGGGGACGCACCCATACTTCTTTCACAGTCGGGGTTGATTGGAGAGGGCACGCGAGAGGACACAAGACCCTTCCGAGCTCCACACAATGCCACAGGAAAAATATAAAAGAGGGCATGGGTCGCGAAGCTCAGGGCACAAACGCGCCCCCGACTTCGCAGGGCCGACCTGCCAATCAGTCTCGACTGCATGCTGGGGCGGCGCCGGGCGCAGGCCTCCCTGCCCAGCTCCCGCAGCAGCAGTTCCTCGGCCCTCCGCACCTCCTCGCCCTCCGCCTGCCCGGCGCCCCGCCGCGGGAGGGGCCGCACCCCCGGGGCGAGGAGGGGGGCGGCCCTCCCGGGGCCGAGGGCCGCGCGCGGACGGGCCCCGCCTGGGGCGCCCAGGTCCACCCCCAATTCTATGAGGCTTTCGGAGGTTCTCGGACGTCTTCGTCGGTTCCTGAGGTGGTCTCCTGGGCCTCGGGGTGCGTTCCAGCAGCTGCGCTTCGCCGCGGGCGTTCCCGGGGTGCCCGTACCGCCCTGAACGGCCGCCAGAGAGCCGAGCTGCGGCCCGAAAACTGGACATCCGACGTTCAGAAAAAGTCGGAACGGAGGTTTCTCATAGGTTTCGGCCTCTCGGGGGCCCTCACTGGGCCTTGGGGCCGTCAAGGCCCGACTCGAAATGAAAAGCTGGTCCTGAGGAAGTGGTCGAAGAGGTCGGGGGCGCGCCTGGGGAGAAAGTGAGGAGGCTTTCTCAGAAAGCTCGGATGTCCCCCAACCTCCTGAAAAGAGTCCTAAGCCTCGGGGTGCGTTCCAACAGCTGCGCCTCGCCGCAGCGTGGCGGAGGGTGCTTATACTTCCTCGGCAGCTCGGTGGCCCTCACCGGGCCTCGGGGCCTCCTATGGGGAAGTGGTCGGACCACTTCCCTGACGCTGGCTCTTCGTCCAGAACCGTTTCTTCACGGTCCCTGGGCCCGGCGAGGGCCCCTGGAGGCCGAAATCGCCCGCTCCCTGTTTTCTAAGAAACGTCGCAAATCTCGGGGGGGCCTGACTTCCGACGTCTCGAAAAAAATCGCAACACCGCGGCAAAAACACGACCGGAGCCATGGACCCAATTTTTTTCCGCCATTCTGAATAATTCCGTTTTGCATTTATCCACTTGTCTGCCCACCGTGGGCCATACGCCCCCCTGGCCGGGCCAAGGAGGCACACGCGGTTCTAGCGCGGCGTCGTCGCGCAAAGAGACTTTTTTCACCACGTCAATCGTTCAACCTCGAATCAATCACAAACCCGAGCGATCGGGCCCGCCAGTGCTGTATGCAGCGGCGACCTAGAACGCGCACGCAGGATCTCACGAACGGCGATCACGTCCATATCCACTCGGCGACTCCGAAAGGTGCTGTTTGCGAAGGGTGTGGTTTGCAACCAACACCCTGGGGGGTAACCCTGGGGGGCGGGCGAAGACCTCGACTGAGCTCCCTGCCGCGCCTCGGGGTGTTCGCCCTATGCCCACTTGCGGGAAACGTCGAGGACACGATCGATGAATTCACAGCCTTCTGTGTAGCGCCCTTTCGCCCAGCTATTCCCAGCCCCTGTCTGCCCGAACACACAAAGATCAAGGATGACCGTGGCCAACCCCGAAGGAAACCAAGCCAACGAGGAAGCCGAATATGAGGATCAAACTCCAGCCCTTGCCGACATGTGGCGGGAAAAGGCCGCCGCGGCGCAGAGGCCGCTTTCTTCGAGGAACAGATGGTCAGCGAGCAAGCCGGGGAAGGCGGAGGCCTTGACGATGACCATGGGGGTCCCGCGCCACCTGGGAGCTTGGGCCTTTGCCGAAAGCCAGTGCGGAGTGGATGAAGATGAAGCTGGAGATCGGCTTCCTGCCCAAGAAGATTATGGGCCTGGCCTCGCAGATTTGGCTACGTGGCCCGTCAGTTTCCTTGTGGACGCTGAGGAAGGGGCCCAGCAGCGGAGTAGATACACCTTGTCAAATACTGTGACGCGTCCTGGCACCATGAAATTGTTGCTGCGCATGGCTTCATGATCAGCCGTATCTGGAAATATGGACCGCGGGAGCTGTTGTCTCATTGCCGAGCGGGCCCCCTGGCCGCGGAGAAGATGAAACACGAGTCGCCCACCACTGGAGCCGCGCTCGCCTCAGAGCCGCTGGGCCCGTCATGAAGTCGACCACGCCACGCATATCTGGGACACGAACCCAGACCGAATGGCGAGCTCGGCGACCGTCTACAGCAGAACGCAATCAATCCAGCAACCCGTTATCCTGGATAAGGCTGGGCCGCCAAACCCGCATGTTTGACATCTCCTGGGCCGCCAAGCCTGGATGGCCGGCGATCCCGCGCTCCACCTCTGCCTCGAACTCAAGAACATGCACAAGCCAAGGTATCTGGTGGAAATTGTGTCACGTTGGCGCAAACGATCTGCGGGACGAGCCCGCCGAGGAAAACCTCGCCACCTACCGCCTGAACCTTCCACCGGCGCCGTCAGGTCGGTCATCAAGGCGCCGCTCTGTTTGCCCGAATACCGTTCAAAGAGATTAACGCTGACTGTGGCCAACCCCGAAAGAAACCAAACCAGCGAGGAAGCTGAAGATGAAGATAAACTTCAGTCCTTGCCAGAAAAGTATACGAAGAAGCAGCCGACGTAGATGATGACCAACCACTCTGCCACGCGGTGGGGCGATGGCCCCCATTGCCAGAGGAAAATAACATCAGCTGACGCAGATGATACCCAGCCTCTTTGCCACGTGGTGGAATGATGGCCCCTCCCCTATCCACCTCCCCCTCATCCTCCTCCTGCTCCCCCTGTTCTTTACTTCCGACTTCCCTGCACAACAGCGGAGCCGCCACCTCCGTTTCCTCCTCCTCCTCCTCCTCCTCCTCCAGTTCCTCCCCTGATCTACTTCCGCCTTCCCTGGGCAGCAGCGGCGCCGCCCCCTCCCCTACCTTCCCCCCACCTTCTTTCGCCTCCGGCGCCAGAGCTGGCGCCCATGCGGTGGTCCAAAATGGCATGGCGCACTTGTTTATGCCATGCCATCAATGAGAGGTTTGCGCCGGTCTCGTCCTCCAACGCTGGCCAGCCCAAGCGCGCCTGCAACGCGCCGCCGGGCTGCAGATGCGGTCCCCTGCCTGCAAGCCCTGGGCAATGCCACAGCAGATGCAGGAGGTCACCCTCCCCCTGCACTCCGCACAAAGGACATCGAATGTCCTCTCCGCGAGCCGAGGCCCAAGATGCTGGCGACATCGTCGCCCTTGCCAGCACTGACAGCGCTGCGGGGTCGTGCTTGTGCACCTCGACGGCCGCCTTCAGCCGCTGGCTGTCGTAGCTGGTGTGGCGACACATGAAGGAGTCGTTGCGTGCCTGCTGCTGCTGCTGCCGCGCACTGCACTTCGTGGCTCTCCACGATTCGCGGAGGTCGCGCTCGTCCTTGTCCAGGGCACCGCCCTCCGCGGGCCTCAGCCCGACGGCGGCGTGCGTGACGGGGCGACTCCAGCACCAGCCCACCTGCAGGGCGCCTGCGCCGTCGCCAGCATCGCCCCCGTCTTCCTGTCAGCCCAGCTGCTGCACCCATGTCCTGAGGCACGCGGGCCAGCCGCCGCCGCCCCAGGCTCCCAGCACGGCGCGCCTTCTGCAGAACCGCCTCGCCGCCGCCGCCACCTGCGCCTCTACGATGCTGCAGAAGGCGCTGGCCGAGGGGCACATCAGCATCTCGAACAGTTGAGGCGACGGCCTCTTCGGCATCCTGAATGCTCTGTGCACAACTGATTCCAGATTGGCCACCGTTGCGGCGAGCGGGCGCCGGGCAACCCAGCCCCATGCAGGTTCTCCAAGGGCCTCTGCCACGAAGGGCCTCCTGCCTCCCGTGCGCACTGGCAGCTCGGCGACCCTCCTCAAGAGCAGCGACGTTGCGTCTAGCCGTTGTTGCTCCGTGTCCTTGAGGCAGACCCTCCGCGCAGGCTGCATGTAGCATGCCAGGATCAGCGGGGCCACCTTGACGGCCGTCTCCGCGACGCCTTCCTGCTGCCTCAGCTCCCTCCTGCCCTCGGCCGTGCGGTGGGAGAACTGCTCCTTTCCCTCGTTCTCCTTCAGTCCACAGGCGGCGCTCCACCTCCGCCAAGCATCGTCCATCGCTGCCGCCATGCTGGCCGTGGGCGTTGTCCAGCTCTTGTCGTCCATCCAGGTGCCCAGTCGCGCCCGGGGCAACACTGCCTTCAGGCCCACCAGCGGGCCAGCCAGGAGAGCATTCATGCCGATGGCGCTACAACAGTCTCCCTGGGGCATGGAGGATGCTGTCTGCCCGAACAAGAAACAGTCTGTGAGATGCGATGCGAACCCTGCCAGTTGGGCCTCTGGTGGTGGCCCCTACGGCCAGACCTAAGACATAATAACATCCTTCAAGAACATGAGACCCTCCGCCGGCCAAACTGAATAACATTCGAGGGTACCCTTCCCCAGGATGCACGAGAACATCCGACAGGCACGGAGAACAACAGAATACCCTCCCCGAACCACCCTCGATCTTATGCCTCGGTCCCACCGCGTGCGAACCCTGCAAGTGGCCTCTGGCGGTGCCCCCTTATGGGGCCACGAAGCGTGGGGCCACGAGACGCGCGAGGGGGATGCACCGGAAGGGACCCCCAGCTGATGTCAGGGGCATGGAAGCGGAGGGGAGGAGGAGGAGGAGGAGGAGGAGGACGAGGAGGAGGAGGAGGAGGAGAGGAGGAGGAGGAGAGGAAAGAGGAGGAGGAGGAGGAGGAGGAGGAGGGAGGAGGAGGAGGAGGACGAGGAGGAGGAGGAGGAGGAGGAGGAGGAGGAGGAAGAGGAGGAGGAGGAGGGAGGAGGAGGAGGAGGAGGAGGAGGAGGAGGAGGAGGCGGAGGAGGAGGAGGAGGAGGAGGAGGAGGAGGAGGAGGAGGGGGGGGGGCGAGGGAAGGGGGAGCGGGGCGCTGCAGGTTCAAACGAGACCGATGAGCTGACGCAATAGTTGTCTATGTGTTCTGGAGTTCCGTCTTCCCCCCAAAACCTCCTCGCGCTGTGAACAAATCACGACGGGGGGGGGGGGGGGTCCGCTATTTTCAGCCTCCAGGGGGCCTCGCCGGGCCCTCGGGACCTTCAAAAAACGACCCAGGATGAAAAACTGGTCCCCGGGAAGGGGTCCAGACGTTGTGAAAAAATCACGACGTCGGGTGTCTTCCCCTCCACTTCCCATGATTTCCCATGTCCCCCCGGGACCCGACGATTCGCAACGTCTCTGTGTGCAGGATCCCCTGACACCACAAGGTGGCTGGGAACCATTGGTACGGCGCAGGGCGACCCCAAGAGTACCCCCTCGGGCGGTCCGAGAGCACCTCGAGAAGGCCCGAGACCGCTCCATGAGGGCTTCAAGAAGGCCCCGAGACCAGACCATACGTCCCATGCTGGTTCAGCCCACTCTTCGGGAGAGTTCGAGGTCTCCAAGAAGTCTCCAAAACTCCGTCACGAGGGAAGGCGAAAAGGGAAAGAGGAGGGGCGAGAATGAAGGCGAGAATAAGCCTGAGGACAAGAAGGGGTTGCTCACGACTCGCCTACCTATTTTAGACAGGGAGCTGGAATGGAACAGGTGTTTGAACTCGACCTCACCCCAGCTGCGCTGCTGCGCTAGCACTGTGGCGTTGTTTGCCGCAGGCAGCTGGATATAACTTCCTCTTCGCGCCATGCCAAGAACTTGATCCGAGTATCATGGGCACTCGACGTTTTATCCATGTCCGTGCTCACCCGAGAGCTCTGTGAAAGGTCGGAGCATAGGCGTGGATAACATTCCGGCCTCTTGAGGCCAAGTTTTTCCCCAGCGGCCGGAATGGGGGGGCAACAAATGGGTTTGCGTCGAGTGTCGATCGCCGGGGCGCAGAAAGATACACTAATGCGTGATGGCCCCCTTGAAGGTGTGCAACCGCATTACACGCAATAAACACATATCCGCAACCGCGCTTGTAGCGGCTGGTGTGCGCCAACCCCGTGCTTGCCGTTATTGTCGCTTCTTGCGAAGCAATGATTGGGGGGGCCCGACCCATCGAACCCAACATCTTCTTAATTGTTCCACCGGGTCCCTACGTTTTCGCCGCCCGACCAAAAAAAGGCCCCAAAAAGAAAGGCGCGGACGGCAATGTCCCGTGGCATGTCCCCCCGCCCGCCGCCCCTCCCTCCCCGCCCCCTAGGCCACCACACCCTGCCTGAGCGCGGTGGCGCGGAATCGCGCGGAAACGCAACTGGATCATAGCACAGTGTCTTCCAAGCGGCTTGGCTGGAAAAACGCCTGCCAGGGAGCTCGTACTACAAGACTGTTCAGTCTGCGCGCCACCCCCGCGAGAACGGCATACATGAATTGTAAGCATGCCTGAGTCCGACCTGATTGCCGTCGTAGCTACTAGGGATGACGATGGACATGGGGACCCCCAGTCCCCCCGACTTTGCTGGGTGTCGACTGGACCAAACATTTTGGGTCCAACTCGGCAGGATACGATGGAGGGGCGTCCATTTTCGGCAGGGGCGCGTCCAGATGCCATGCCCCCCTGAGAGTGCACACCCGCGCTTCCATCTGCTGGGCGAGTTTCCAAAAAGGGAGGGATCGGAGAATGGGGACGAGACGTCGCCTGCGATCGTCGTCGTCGCCGTCGCTCTGCATCACGTCGTTTGGAGAGCCAGGGAGCCGAGCAGCTCGGCGAGGGAATTCGGTGCATAGGAGCTATTGCGTCCCACAGGCTGGACTGCTGGGGCGTCTACGCACTGAGCTCCTTGGCCGACCAAACGAGGTGGTGTATACTTCGAGCCCCTACCAATCGTCGTCGTCTTCGTGGTCCCCTCGTCGCCCCGCCAACTGGTTTCGGGTCATAACTCGGGCCTCAGACGGACGTTCGGTCCGTTCTGGGCACCCCTGGAAAGCCCTCGGAGAGGCGCAGCCGCTGGGAGGCACCCCGAGGCTGGAAAACCACCGAGAACGGACGCGAACGTATGGAAATCTCGAAATCCAAACGCGAACCTCGAACGATTACCAGTAATCCGAGGCTGGAAGGCACGCCGAGAACGAACGAGAACGTCCGAAAACCTCGAACATCGAACCTGTCCACTCCTCTGTCGCAGGGAGGTGGCCGCCAGCGCACCGCGCGCCAGCTCCGAACGGCGCGGTGTACGCATCTGGGGGGACAAAGGCATCGATGGGTCGCCTGACTTCGCGCATCGCGCCCCACGATGCGCGACACGCGATTCTTCTCGCGTCTTCGCGCCGCATCCTTGGAGAAGGGCAACCGCACTGGCCCAGACCGCGACGCGCGAAGCGCGAATACCTTCGCGCCCACGCGGGTGGCCTGGAAGATCTACCCTGGCGCCGCTACGCCCAGGGACCTCTCCCGAGCTGCGGTCCGACCCGAACTGCAGGGCACATCCAGCCGTGGGGTCTCAAGAGCTCTCCCGGACGAGCAGCGGTGCCCGTACTTGTATGCTCCGCCGACTCCCCGCTGTCGTCGACGACGACGTTGTCGTCTAGGTCGACGTCGTCGACATCGTTGCCGTCAAACGTTGTCGTCGATCGTCGATCGCCAATCATCGTCATCGTCGTCGTCGACGATCGTCGCCGTCGCCATCGTCGTTGTCGTGGTCATCGTCCGTGGATCTCGTCGTCGTCGTCGGGTTCGATCTCGTCGTTGTCGTCGACGTCAACATCAATCGTCGTAGCCGATCGTCGATCGTCTTCTATCTTCGATCGGCGACAGTCGATCGTCGTCGATCGTCGTCATCGCCGTCGTCGATCGCCTACATCGTCGTCGTCGTCGTCCGTGGATCTCGTCGTCGTCAGGGGTCGTCGATCTCGTCGTCGTGGCTGTAGATCGTCGATCATCGTCGTCGACGGCGATTGTCGTCAGTCGATCTCGTCGTCTCCCTCGTCGGTCATCGATCTCGTCGTCGTTGTCGGTCGTCGATCGTCGTCGTCGTCGATCGTCGATCGTCTCCGTCGTCGTCGATTGTCGTCGGTCGTCGTCGTCCACCGACTACGATCATCGTCGTAGTCGGGTTCGATCGTCCGTCGATCTCGTCGGCGTCAATCGTCGCCGTCGTTGTCGACCGTCGCCAGCGGACGACGTCGATGGTGGTCGATCGACGTCGTCGATCGCCGTCGGTCGTCACCGTCGTCGATCGTCGCAGTCATCAATCTTGGTCGGTCGTCGTCGTCCATCGTCGTCGATAGTCGTCGTCGTCGATCGTCAGGGTCGTCGATCGTCGTTTTCGTAGTCGGTCGTCGTCGATCGTCGTCCTCGTCGCTGTCGTCAATTCAGTCGATCGTCGTCCTCGTCGATCGTCGTCGGTCGCCGTCGTCGTCGATGGTCGTCGATCGTCGTCGTCGTCGTCGCCGTCAGCTGTCGTCGATCTCGTCGTCGACAGCTGTCGTCGATCTCGTCGTCGTGGCCGTCGGTCGTCGATGTCGTCGTCGTCGATCGTAGTCGTCGTCGTCGTCGTCGTCGTCGACCGTCGTCGGTCGTCGTTGTCGTCGTCGTCGGCGTCGTTGGTCGTCGGCCGTCGATCGTCGGGGAGGTGGCCGCCTGCGCACCGCGCGCCTGCTCCAGGGCGAGCCGCAGCATCTCCGGCTCCATCGGCTCCGCGGCGACGGCCGCGCGCAGCGCGGCGAGCGCGCGAGCCTGGGCGCGCACGGAGAACTCTCGCGCTGCGCGCGCAGCCGCAGACAATGCTTGTCGGGCGATCGACGCGCTGTACAGAGGAGGGAAGAGAAAACGACAGTGTAGGCGGCGCGCCCAGGAGGGAAGTGAGAAGGGGCAGGCCTTCTCAGAAGCCTCGAATTCCCCTGGCCTTCTGAGAAGTTTTCTAAGCCTTCCCCGAAGCCGCAACAAAAACTTCTTAGAAGGCGCGAGGCCTTCTGAGAAGTCCCACGGCCTTCTGAGAGGTGGCGTCCCACCCTCGCCCGCCGCCGAATGTTTGTCGGGCGATCGACGCGCTGTACAGTGGAGGGAAGAGAAAACGATTAGGAGGCAACGTGTGGGAGATGCTCGTACGAACGATGATGGGCGATTGAGCCAGGTCATGAAGGCACTAAACTGGAAAAACCCAAGATGAAGCCGTGGGAAGCCAGAATTAGCGGAATTAGACGGGGTGACGCCCGGTAAGGGCGGTGCCGATGCCGAATCCAAGCTCCGTGCAATGGCAACCTGAAACCGAGGACCATGACCAAGACTGAACGCGGAAACGTCGGCGTCGATCTTGGTCATGCGTCCATTCTGACCGTCGCCGATTCGTGAAGAACCCTCGCGACTCGTTGAGGGCTTCCGGGCCATACCCTCGGCTGTCCCGCGGCCGCCTGGGAGGATCTGGGCAATCCCCGGAACGCCTGGGGCGAGGCGAAACTGCTGGAAAGCATCCCGAAGCAAGAAGGAAACGCCGAGAACCAACGACAAATACCTCTAAAACCTCGGACATCGGTTGTCACAAAAAAAACACCACTTCTCACACAAAACAAAAAATCAACAACAACAACAACAACAACAACAACAACAACAACAACAACAACAACAACAACAACAAGAACAACAACAACAACAACAACAACAACAACAACAACAAAACAGAAAACACAAGAAACAGACAATTCAGACCCAGGTCAGTCAAGCGTTACAGGATCCTGCAAAGATCCTGCAGGATCCTGCTGGACGGGGTCCGCGCAGCCCTGGCTCTGCGGGGTCCTGCAAAATCCGGCGCTCTGACTGACCCCCGTTTGCATTGACACCTGTCTCTTGAGCCCCGAGGGGGCTCCGCGGCGGCAGCGCTTGTGGTTTCTTGTCGTCGTCGTCGTCGTTGTCTCCGTCGTCGTCGCCGCCGCCGCCGCCGTCGCCGTCGTCGTCGTCGCCGTCGTCCTCGAATCGCCCGGCGCCCCCACCCCGCTGGCGCGCGCGGCGCGCCTGCGCCCGCGTGGGCGAGTTCTGCGCCAGGGCCGCGGGGGCCGCGTGGCCGCCCGAGTCCTGCGGCCGGGCGCTGCTTACTCGGGGGGGGGGGGGGCTCCCCGACGAGGGGCAACGAGAAGGGGGGACTGGCGTCCGCCACCGTGCCGCTGAGCACGGAGTGGGCGTGTCCTCAGGTCCTGGGCCCAAGCCTCAAAGCCTCAATCCTCACTCCTGAGGGAGTCTCTGAGGGGACAAGACCCCAAATTCTCAAATCTCCGCTGGGGTTTCCCGCCGCTGCCCGTCGCGGCTTGTCGCATGACTTTCTCGATCCCAAGAGGGCCCAAACCCACAACCCAGGCACGGTGGCGGGATGGGCCGAAGGCCACAATTATCCGCCGCCCCCTGTGGTCTTGCCAGAAAGGGTGCACGGCGTGCTAAACCTTACCGCTTTGGGTTCTTTGCCAAAAGAACTCCCCTGGGGCTTCGGCCCATCCCACCCGCCGGCCACCCGGCAGGCTCCGGGCGGAGTGGCTCCAAAGGTTTCTCCTGCTCCAGATGGATCCAAGATGGCTTCCAAGACAGACAAGATGGCCCAAGATGGCCTTCAAGACGGCTAAGATGGCCTCCAGGGTCGCCCAAGACGATCCAGGATGGCCTCCAAGGCGGCCCGAGAGGGTCCCAGACGCCTCCAAGTCCGCCCAAGAAGCCTCCACCCAAGAGGCCCACAAGACGCCTCCAAGACATCTTCCAGGAGGGCCCGAAGATGCCAAAATCATTGATGCTCCTTTGGATTTTGAAGGATTTGGGCATATGCTTCTTTTCGGCCTTCCGACGGCTCTGGACAGCCCAAAAGCCCCCCAAGATCGCCCCAAGATCGCCCAAGAGGCCTCCAAGATGACTGCATGACAGACCAAGAGGCCCCCAAGACGGCCCCAAGAGGGCCCCAAGATGGCCCAAGAGGCCTCCACGACGCCCAAGATGGTCTCCAAGACGGCCCTGAAGTACCCCAAGAGGGCCCCAAGTCAGTTCAGAGAGGCCTCCAAGACGGCTTCCGACGTCATCAGTCGGGCCAGGCACGCCGTAAGACGACCAAAGAGGCCCCCAAGAAGCACCCAAAGGCCTCCAAGAGGCCCAAGGAGGCTCCCAAGAGTCCTGCAAGAGGCCCCCAGGGAGCTCCCAGGAGGCCCCAAGAATGACCCAAGAAGCTCCCAAGAGGTCTCCTCATCATTCTCCTCGTCCTCCTTTATACTTACTCTCCTCATCCTGCTCTTCCTCCCTCACGTGTTCCCGGAAGGGCTTCCAGAGCTGAGGGAACGCATGGTCCAATAGCGTGGCCAAAGGTTGCCCAAACGTTTGGCCAGATGGGCGTATCCTAGAGGGCACGGGGCGGCAGTGATTCGCCGTAGGCGTCTTCGATAGTAGAGGCCTCCTAGATGTGGGGCCCCAAGACGGCCTCCGACGGCCCAAGATGGCTCCAAAATGGCCCCAAGCGACCCAAGACGCCCCCAAGAGATCTCCAAGACGGCTCAAGAGGCCTCCAAGAGAGCCTCCGGGAAGGCCCGAAGAGGCCAAAATCATTGGTGTTCCTTGGGTTGTTGACGGATTGTGGCATTTGCTTATTTGCGGCCTTCCGACGGCCCGACACTGCCCAAGAGCCACCAATTATCGCCCATCGCACAAGAAGCCTCAAAGATGGCCCCAGAAATGCGAAGAGGCCCCCAAGACAGCATCAAGAGGGCCCCAAGACGGCCCAAGAGGCCTCCAAGACGCCCAATGTGGCATCCAAGACGGCCCTGGAGCACCCCAAAAGGGCCCCAAGTCGGCCCAGAACGGCCCCCAAGACGGCTTCCGACGGCGTCAGACAGGACAGGAATGCCATAAGACAGCCAAAGAGGCCCCCGAGAAGCCCCCCGAAGACCTCAAAAGAAGCCCAAGGAGGCCCCCAAGATGCCTTAACTCCAAGGAGGCCCCCATGAGTGCCTCCTGAGGCTCCCAAGGAGCCCCCTCCTCCTCCTCCTCCTCTTCCTCCTCCTCCTCCTCCTCCTCCTCCTCCTCCTCCTCCTGCTCCTGCTCTCCTCCTCTCCTCCTCCTCCGCCTCCTCCTCCTCCTCCTCCTCCTCCTGCTCCTCCTCCTCCTCCCCCCCCTCCTCCTCCTCCCTCCTCCTCCTCCAGCTCCTCCTCCTCCTCCTCCTGCTCCTCCTCCTCCTCCTGATCGTCCCCGCCATCCTCCCCCAAGTATTCCGTGAAGGGATTCCACAACGGCTGGGGGAACACATGATCCGATAGCTTGGCAGAGCTTTTGCCACAACGCTCGGCCACGTAGGCGAGTCCAAACGGCAGGGGCCGGCGGTGATTCGCCGTAGGCGTCTTCGATAGTAAAGAACTCCTAGATGCAATCGGAGTAGATGGGGTCGGAGGATCGCGCCGCATCGCCGATGCATTGGCAATGCATCGGCGGCGTCGGCGGTGCATCAGGCTCCACATCGAGCCGAATCGCCGATGCATCGGCCAGAGGGCGCGATCCTCCGAATCCACCTACTAGGACCCCATCTGGGAGGCCTAGACATAGGGGAATGGAACCATCGACCTGGAATCGGCGCTACATCGCCAACAGATCTGCGATTGGCCCCTGATAGCGACCCCGACTCCGCACCGTCCTGGGCAGGGTGGGGCTGTCGGGCCCCATATCGGCGATCAGTTGGCGAGGGGGGGGTGGCCGATGCATCCCCCCCCTGTGCCTACGCCTCTCACCCCCCCCCCGCCATCGCTGCCCCCTGACCTCGGGGGGGGGGGGTTCTGGGGCTGCCCGAGGGCCCCGCCCCCAAAACTCTCCCTCGCTGCGCCCGCTCCGCTCCCGCCCGCCCCGCCTCTCCGCGGCGTCGCGGCGCCGAACCCGTCTCGCCACGACCTCCCCCCCGCCCCTCCCCCTCGGACGGGGACATGGGCTGTCCTCCATCGAGGCAGATGCATCCAGGAGGCCCCCGGACCACCAGATAACGTCCACGGCAGCCGCAGGCACTCGCTCCTTCTGGGGGTCGGCGGAGGGGCGTATAAGCCACTCGAGTAGGCCCCCCCAAAGACGCGCGACGATCAGAAGCGGGTCTTACGAGAGATGGCATGGGCACCTGAAGTACACGGCGGCTTACGCGGACTGCGAGCGCGGCACGCTGCCTTGGAAGCGAGAGCGCTCACGTGCGACCTTGCGCGGGCAGCGTACGCGCAGTGTTGGCGCAGACGACCCCGTGTTTTTGCGTTGCTCCGGTGGAGATGTGGGCTGTCCCCCCACGAGATTCGAGGGGATTCTCCCCAACTGGGGTGGTCGGCGGGTGGGGCTGAGGTACCACGGCCCGGCGGGGATGGGGACAGGTAAAACGCTCCTCCCCCCGTCGGTGGCAATCGAAGGGAGTCTATCATACCCTCTTGTTGGCTCTTGCGAATCGACGCTCGTCGACGCGAATCGAACCTAAATAGACGCTAATCGAAGCTAGTCGACGCTAATCAACGCTAGATCGGCACTGTCTCATCGACTACCAAACGCGAACCGACGCTAAGCAATGCACTCTGAAGACGGACCCCCGTTCAGCCCAGGAGTCAGGGCAATGAAACGAGTTCAAAACCAGGCGTTTCGCGAAGTTGCAATGTGTTCGCAGTGTCGGATCTCCGGGCTCCTTGATTCCTGATTCCCCTCCTCCTCCTCCTCCTCCTCCTCCCCCTCCTCCTCCTCCTCCTCCTCCTCCCTCCTCCTCCTTCTCCTCCTCCCTCCCTCCCTCCCTCCCTCCCTCCCCTCTCCTCCTCCTCCTCTCCTCCTCCTCCTCCTCCTCCTCCTCCTCCTCCTCCTCCTCCTCCTCCTCCTCCTCCTCCTCCTCCTCCTCCTCCTCCTCCTCCTCCTCCTCCTCCTCCTCCTCCTCCCACTCCTCCTTGCTGCCGCTCCCTCACTCAACCAATCCGTCCCTGTGACACCTGGGCAACCTCGGGCGTCGAGGGCAAATGTGGACCAGCTGGTGCCCGAGACGCATGGGCCCTGGCGTGTAAAGCTTCCCCGGACGAAGGGTCGACTTCGCCTGAGGGTGCAACATGCAAACACGGCAGGTGAGCGTTTCTTTTTCGGCGTTTCGACATCGTGCGGAAGGGGAGAGGGTTCTGGCTCCGGACCTCTGCTTAATGCGACTGTTTGCTACAGTGCGTCCCTTGGAAGGAACTCCACCTGCCTGAAGCAGGCGCCAAAAACAGCCAAGATCTACTCCATGGGGCGGGGAGGGGGGTGTGCAAGGGCCCGCGCCGATCGGAAAAACAAAGAACAAAAAGAAAACGGTTACCAGGTTCGTGTGGTGCTGACTTCGGCGTTGGTTTCTGACACCGCGGGGATCGTTCAACCTTGAACGATCGGCCGTTTCCGAAACGTTAGATCGTTCAGCATCGACCGATTCTGGGTCACCAGCTGCGTTCAAAGTTGAATTCTAGCGGCGGGGTCGCCGCTGGTCGACACGACGCGAATCTACCGTACCACCTTCTGTGGCCTGTTCCTCTGTGTCGAAGAGAAACGGCATTCGACATGCACCGCTTGTCTCATTTGTCCAGCCCTCGTCGACCTTTTGCAGAGACTCCACCAACCGCACTTACTTCCGGCATTCTCTGCAGGACACGTCCCTGGAGGCTACGCACTGTCCGTTGCACTCGCATGTCAAAACGGATCCACAAGCCTGGCTCGGAGATACATGTCATTCCCTATGTCTAGAAGACAGAAAGTTCCGCGCGGATTTCCTGGATCGGCACTAGACCCCCATCCCTGGCGCGCCAGTGGTGGCGCCAGGGGCGCCGCCTGGGGGGCCCAGAGCCGATCCAAGAAATGCGCGGGGAGCTCCGAAAGTGTATGTTTATGTCATTGTTCCTCTTCGACTTTATCCGCCGACGTCACCGGGGGGTCAAAACGTGCGAGGTTCTTCTCGGCTGGACGTAGAATTGATCCTTGGCACAAGTCAAATTTGGTGCGCGGCGCTGGCGGGCCGCCGGGGGGGCCAAGTCAGGCGCGCCAGCTAGTGCGGGCGGGACCCTGGTGGGCCCGCACCTAAAGGTCACCCCAGTGAAGGGTAACTCTGACACGGACGGCAGGTTCGTGTTGTGCCGACTTCGGCGCTGGTTTCTGACACCGTGGGCTTCGTTCAACCCTGAACAAACCAGCCGCTTCCAAAACGTCAGATCGTTCAAAATCGACCGACTCTGGGTCGCAGGCGGCGTTCAACGTTGAACGCCGGCGGCGGGGTCGCCGCCGGTCGACACGACGCGAACCAACGATACGTGGTGCGGCTCCGCCGGAGGCGATCCTTCCAGCCCAACTTGCGCGGCCGCATGCAGCCAGGGCGTGTTTTGATTGTCGCCCGATGCGGCAACATGCGGCGCGCATCCTACCCCCATCCATGCTGGAGAGCTGCATGTTTCCCCCCCGTGGTAGGACGTGAATGGCATGATGATGAGAGTGGCTCCGTATACGCTCCAGGAGTCCCACCAGCCCTTTAGGACGTAGGTGGTTTAGCGCGGTTCCTCTTCCAATCCTCCTTCTTGGAAGACCTTACCCTCCCCCCCAGCCCACGTCGCAAGACTCCCCCCCTCGGCATCTGTTTCTTCGCTGGCCTGTCGTGCTGGTCTGCCGCGCTCGTCCGCAGTACTGGGCTGCTCGTTCTGCGTTGGTCTGCCGTGCTGGTCTGCCGTGCTGCTTGCTGCATTGGCTGGTCTGCCGAAGTGATTTGCCGCGCTGGTCTCCCGTGCTGGACTGTTCGTGCTTAACTGCTGGCCTGCCGTGGTCTTTTCTGTGCTGGTTCGTATGCCGTACTGGTCTCCCATGCTTGTCGACCGTGCTCCTATGTTCGTTCTTAGCTGGTGTGCCGTGCTGGTATGCCGTGCTCGCTTTTCCTTAGCAAGTCTGCCGTGCTGGTCTACCTTGCTGGTCTAAACTACTCCTGCGTGTCTGGGCTACCGCGCTGAGGTGTCGTTCTCTCCTGTCGGGCCAGGATGTCGTGCTCATTTTGTTTCTGGATGTCGTGCCGGGGGCCTGGATGCCCCCGTCTCCTAACCATGACTCTTTTTCACGGCCTCTTGGAGGATTCGAGGAAGTTTCTCGAAGGTCTCTTGGGGGTCTCTTAGAACCCTCTTGCGACACTCGCAAGACGGTTCCGAGTTGGTCCCACGGTGGCCGAGACCAGGGCTGCACCTCGAAACGCAAAAAAACTCTTTTCGGGACGTCGGCATGGTTCCAGGCTCAAGACGACCCACAACCCCGACACCGTGAACTTGTCGCAATGCGGAGCCCCGGACCAGGATGTCCGCGGGGTCATCCGAAAGCCAATGTTTTGCACGACGTTCGATTACTCGATCACCCCACTCCACCCACGTGTCGTCAATCACTCAACTTCGCGCATCGCGCCAATGATGCGCGATGCGCGGGTGTCATCGCGCCGTCGCGAAGCCATATTGGTGGGCAGCTCTCCAGCCCAAGCCGCGACGCGCGAAGCGCGAGTGGGTGCCCTGGATCACGGTTCCCTCCTAAAACACCCCCTCCCCCAGGCGGCTGGTAGCCAACCAGGAACCATGGCCCCCCCACCATCTCTTGAAACAAAACATACAAAACACACTCTGCCTCCAAATTCGGAGCATGCGCGGCCAACCCGATGCGGCCTCGCCCACCATCCCTGTCAAAAAACCAATACTGAGTACGCTTGGCGGCGGCGGCGGCCGCTGCGGCGGATGCGGCGGATGCGGCGGCGGCGGCGGCGGCTGCGGCGGCGGCGGCGGCGGCGGCTGCGGCGGCGGCGGCGGCGGCGCGGCGGTGGCGGCGGCGGCGGCGGCGATGGCGGCGGCGGCGGTGGCGGTGGCGGCAGCGGCTGCGGCGGCAGCGGCTGCGGCTGCGTCGGCGGCGATTTGGCAACGGGGGTTGCGGTGGCGGCGGCGGCGGAGGCGGCGGCGGCGGCGGCGCGCGGCGGCGGCGGCGGCGACGGCGGCGGCGGCGGCGGCGCGGCGGCGGGGCGGCGGCGGCGGCAGGCTGCGGCGGCGGCGGAGGCGGCGGCGGCGGAGGCGGCGGCAGCGGATTGGCCCCCAGTAGCTGCCCATCCAAAGACGACTCCTGAATCTGCTGAGGCTCGGGCCAGACTCGGGTGCTACATATGTGTTGGGAAGGCGGGTGGGAGTGAGCGAGACGGCTTGCGGGCGGGGAGGGAGTCTTGATCCCCCTCCCCACCCCTCCCCTCCCCCCCTTTCTTCGGGGCATGGAAAAATGCCGATACCGCCGCTGCCCCCGGACCTCTCCCGGGGAGCGTTCTGGCCAGGATTTCGGAGCGAATACAGCCGCGGCAGCGAGCGAAGGGTACAAACAAAGCGTGAATTAAGGAGGGGTGGTAAGGACACAAGACCCTTGCAGGCCGAAATTGGGATTCGTGGGGGCGACGGACGACCAGTGAAAACGGCAAAGGACATGCCGCATGCCCCAGAGGCAAGAGCATAAGGGCAGCCCAGATGAAGGCGCGCGTCCTTGCTGGGCGCGTTGACTGTAGCGGTACTCTCATGTTTCCTAATTTGTGTCATCCCCCCGGAGCGCGAGAGCCGCACAAAGCTCCTGGAGCTGCCTGGTCAGGTGCCTGGTCATCTGCCTGCTCCTCTCCCTCCAGGCCAGCATCGGCTGCGGGGGCTCCCGGGACGGCTCCTCGCAGCGGCGGGAGCGAGTAGGGAGGGGGGCGGGCCCGAGTCAGCACTAAGGACACACGCGTCCGAATTTGACATTGTCCGCCCAGGATGGACAAGGGCATCGATCAGACACGACGAACATTGGGGTACCCTCCTCGAGCCGACCTCGATCCTACACTTCGGTCCGACCGTATGCTATGCCGGGTGCCTTGCCAGCGCCCCCGCCCTCGTTCTGAGCGGAATGCTCTGGAACGGTTTTGCTCAAGAGGCCCAGGGACACACAAATAAATTGACACAAATCCCAGGATTCCCCATATTTTCCAATATGCGTCTGAATGTTTGTCTTCCCCCGCTTCCCATGTTTTCCCAGTTTCCTGGGACTCGACGATGAATTGTGTCTGTGCTTTTACCCCTCCTGACTTTGTCCGTCCTGGTTCCGCCCGACCAGCGCCACGGCCGAGCTGCCACATAGCGGGCTGGGCAGGCAGAACTGAACTGCACGGCGCTCACTCGTCGGGTGGGTGATAATGGCAAGCACGGGTGCTCACGCCAGGTGAGCATTTCTCGTATTTAGGGTTTCGACCATCGAGCGACGATCAATGACAGGTCTTACGCGAGATGACGTGGCGACCTCACGCCGCGGCTTAACGCGGGCCGCCCGCGCGGCACGCTGAATTGGAGACGAGGGCACTCACGCGCAAGCTTACGCGGGCAGCTTACGCGCGAATGTCGGCGCAGACGACCCCCTTGTTTGGAGTCCGCGCCATTGTGGGGGTGCGTCTTTGGGCTCCCAGTGTCGCCTTCCTCCTCGGTTGCTTCTCCCTTGCATATGTTTCTTATCCTTCTTGTTATCCTTCATCAGTCTTGGTATCCTTGCATCTGCTTGTTATCCTTCTTGTCCTTGTTGTCCTCCATTTGTGAGCCGCCCCTTTGCCCGATGGGTGGGGGAGGGGGGAGGGGGCCCGGGTCTGGGCCAGTGCTCGGTCGATCTGCTCTCACCAGTCGCGCCAGCAGAGCGGGGGAAGGGGCCCCGACCAGTCGCCAGAGGCAGCCGCCAGAAGCAGCCACGATCTACTCGAGGGAGGGGGGCGAGGGTGACAGGGGGACATGTCGACCCCTATCCCAAGCTTCCTGGGGTTTTCGAATGGACCCGAAATGTGGGGCCCAACCCTGGGACATACGATAGGGGGCGTCAATCCTCGATAGCGGTGCGTCCGAATAGCCCCCTTGGGGTGCATCCCAAGGTTCCCCTCCGTTTCTGAACGGCCTCATGTTTCGTCGAAAAGTCGGGGGCCGGGGGAGAAGAATCGCCTGCGAGAGTGGGGGAGGGGGGGGGGCTGGGGCCCGCGCCGATCGGCGAGACCAGAAACACATATAAAAAAACGGCGACAGATTTACGCCAGGCAGGACAGATCGGCAGGCCATCAGCGGAGCCGTGCCCCCAGGCACGCTTCCAGCCTGGATCGATCTGATGGTCCTGCGCGTTGGCCTCCCATTGAGAGCACCAGGAGTGTGCAGCCAACGTGTTACTGCCAAAGAGAATGACGAACGAACAACACACACACACACACCTACCCCTAGGGGGGCCGTAGGGGGGAGGCCTGGCTATGGGTATGGGTGCGGGTTGTCGATCCCCGGGGGAGACTCCCGTCCGAGCGGGGACCCCCATCCAACAACACGCACCCATGGCCCCCTTCCGACCTCCTATGGGTATGGATGTGTGGTGTCCGTTCGTCAAAGAACGCGAAAGAAGGAACGGCGGGGTTTTCCTTGCCACGACGAGCCTCGGCATCGAATAGGTTCCCCGACCCAGATCTGTCAAGTGGCAGTTCATGGGAGCCTCCCACACCATTCTGCTGGCTCTTGCCAATCGACGCTAATCGACGCTGCTTCGACGCGACCTCATCGACTAGCAGAAGCGGATCGACCCTAGAATGTGCTACATAAACCAGAACCTCTTCTTATTTTTACGTGCTCCTTGTCTCAGCGCATCGACTGGAAATGTCCATGCGGCCGTGGCGAAGCCACCAGAGGACGCTCAGGTACTCTCTGCGAGCGGCGGGAAAAGGGCGTGACAGGCGCCTGCCAGCCAAATCCGCAACACGCACCAGGTACCCTCTCTCTCTCTTATTAGACGCGACTGCTGAAATGGCAGTGACATGTTCGGTGGCAACTCATGGGCCATATGGGAGCCTCCCTTACCAGTTTGTTGGCTCTTGCAAATCGACGCTGATCGACGCAACATGGACGCGAATCGACGCTAAATCGGCGCTATCCCATCGATTACAAAACGCTTATCGACGCTAGTGCAGTCTGAAAAGATGGAAGTGGGAGGGTATACGATGCTCCAGAGATTTGCTACCAAAGAAAGGCACAGCCGCCTTATTTCGACGCAGGCCGGCCCCGGTGGCCAAGTAGCTGAAGAGCCCCGTCATTTGACCCCGAATCCAATATCGGAAGCAATCCAACTGAGGCCACTGCTGTTCAAGGCTCCTTCACCAAGCACCAAAAGCGCAAAGACAGCGCAAGCTCACTTGCACTGCCGAGGGCAGTCTCGAAGGGAACAGATAATGGCATAGCCAGATGACGTTACGATGTCAACGATGCCACTGGAGAATGCCAGTGATGAGGCTGGCGCACACATGGCGAGTTCCGGAGACCCTGAAGCCAAAAGCGTTGCCATCTCTTGGGGGACGCATTTTGACTTCCGCCAGCTTCCGCCGACCTTCCGCCGCATTCCGCCGAGAAAGACATGGCAATTCCTTCGATTTTCGAAGGCGAAACCTCTTTCAGAACGCCTCATATGTCCACCACTGCACTTGACCACGGCAGGTGTGTGTATCTGCTCGTGCATGTGCCAGGCCCCGAGCTTCCGTAGACTGGCCCCTGCGAAGCATTAGAACAACAGTGTGGCCGAGCCCGTCCCCATCGGAGGCCAACATGGCCACACAGATTGGTGAAAGTCCCGAGGTGGTCGGCCCTCCGAAAAGGAAACGTGGAGCCGAACGCGAGGTGCTCACTGAGGAACTGGCCCGTCCGTAGCGCAGTTGCGTCGCCGCCCCAACACATCTGATGGGCCGATGTTACACCATCACTACCAGATGTAGGAGAGGGCCCTCTGCCCAGAGACCACGGAGCGAGGGCAAGGCATAGAGGGGAGGGCGGGAAGGGAGGGAGGAGAGGGAGAGGAGGCGAGGCGTGGCGGAGACAGGAGAGCCAAATGAGCAACGATCAAAAACGGGTCAAACTGGGTTTAGCGACCTTACGCGGCGGCTCACGCGGGCCGCCCGCGCGGCACGCCAGATTGGAGACTGGCGCGCTCACGCGCGACCCCAGGCGGGCAGCTTACCGCCGATGTCGGCGCAGACCACCCCGTTTTTGTACCGTCGCTCGGATGGCGCAAAGGGACCGGGCGGAAATGACCCGACTAAACTCGGCCCCCACCGGTCTGCGGCCGGCTGGTCGAGGCGGCCGTGGGGCCAACGGGTCAAACCTCTTCTCACGTGCACTCTGCGAACAATCTCTCCGACCAACGCCCCCTGGGCCAGGACCAGGCCACCGACCAGGACTCCAGGAAGAGGCCCTGGCCCTGCTCTGGCTCGTGACCGAGAGCTGCAGCCGTCGTGCCAGGAACAGGGGCGCTGACTACTCCGGATTTCACAAAACAAGGGGGGTAGTCTGATTAAGAGGGTGGGGGGGCTGATGTGAGCTGTCTTGGAGGGTTCTGGGTTCCGGGGGGTCCGGGCACAAGGCTGTCATCTCACGCCTGGTCTGGCTGGGGGTCTAGAACAGTAGATGTAAAACTGCTCGTCGGGAGGGGGGGGGGGGGGGGGGGGCTGACCCACCTGCCCTTTTAGCATGAAATCTCTCTGGTTCCGAGGGCGCCGAGGAGCGATCCGGGGCGGAGGCCCCACTCTCGGGAACGAGTCGAGAGAGCGCAGTGGCCCGCCCGCGTGCCGTTGGACACTGCACAGGGAGGGTGCCCAGTCCGTGCCGATGAAGCAGCGATCCCAAATCCCCTCGAGTCATGATATGTTTATTTCTTGTATGTACTATCTCATGCTGTACTTTTTGAAGGAAAAGACAAAACAAACAGGAAAACGACGACGGGAGATGATCGCTATCTTCGGCCTCGGCTGCCCTCTCATGGCTGGTCTGGCTGGGGATCGAAAACTGTAAACCTGAAGCTCTTCGTGTGGGGGGGGGAACCCCGACCCTTTATCACGATACCCGGCGAGCCTACATCCTCGAGCCGGAAGGACGACGACGACGACGACGACGACGACGACGACGACGACGAGGACGACGACGACGACGACGACGACGAGGACGACGAGGACGGCGACGACGCCGACGGCGACGGCGACGGCGCCGACGGCGACGGCGACGGCGCCGACGTCAGCCCAGGTCCGACGACGCCCGCCCGCCGAGGGCCGCCGAGGGCCGCGGCCCCCCCGCGCGGCACGCTCGGGCCTCCCCCGCCTCGCCCGAGCGATCGAGGCCCGCCTCCCCCGCCTCCGCCGCCTCCTCCGCCTCCTCCGCCTCCGCCTCCTCCGCCTCCCCCGCCTCCTCCGCCTCCTCCCACCACTCCTCCTCCGCGTCCTCCGCGTCCTCCGCCTCCTCTCAACCACTCCTCCTCCGCCTCCTCCGCCTCCCCCGCCTCCTCCGCCTCCTCTCACCACTCCTCCTCCGCGTCCTCCGCCTCCTCCGCCTCCGCCGCCTCCTCTCACCACTCCTCCTCCGCGTCCTCCGCCTCCTCCGCCTCCTCCGCCTCCGCCTCCTCCGCCTCCTCCGCCTCCTCCGCCTCCTCCGCCTCCTCCGCCTCCTCCGCCTCCTCTCACCACTCCTCCTCCGCGTCCTCCGCCTCCTCCACCTCCTCCGCCTCCTCCTCCTCCTCCTCCTCCTTGGAGCAGCCGGATGTTTGGGGCAGGGGAGGGGCCGTCTCGGGCTCAGAGCTCCTGGCGCTGCACTTTCTCACACGGACGGGCAGAGAACAGCTTGCAAAACCTGGACTCACGTCGTCGCCGCCGCCGTCGCCGTCGTCGTCGCCGGCGGCCTCCAGGGTCGGCGGCACCCGGCCGCAGTGCCCTCGCAGCAGGTCCCAGGGCCTGGACTCGCGGGAGAGGTTCGAAGACCAGAGCCCCTCCTGAGCCCGGACGGGTCCTTGTGTTTCAGCGTCTTGCCTGTGCTGAAGGGGCTCTGAGACACACAAATATATATATATAACACGATTGCCCATCTTTTTTCATATGTGTTGGGTTTTTGTCTTCCCCCCATTTCCCATATTTCCCCATATGTTCCTGGAAGTCGACGATGAGTTGTGCCTGTATGTTTCTGCTCCTCCTGATGTGCACCGTGCCAGGCGCCCGCGGGCCAGCACCAGACCGAGCGCAGTCCGGGCCGCACGGACAGAACCAAGCTGCCCTCCCGATGCCCCCCAAATCTCACCCCGCCTCGTCGGGAGCGGCCAAGGAGGGGGGTGTCCAAGAGGGGGGGGTGCAAATCATGACCGGCGGCATGTGCGCGGCCCAGCGGGGGGGCCAGGGACGTAATGGAATAAGAAGAGGCGCCATGAAATCTCGGGAAATATCGTGGCCCCCGCCATGATATCCACCCCCCCTAGTCATCACCCCCCTCTTGGCCGCTCCCGACCTCGTCTCCATCAGAGAGGCGTCGTGACGGAAACTTTGACCGAAAACCTGCCCGCGTGTGACCGAAGCTGGCGCCCGAGATTTCCCACCCACGCCCGAGCGTGACCGGAAGGTGCGGGTCGAAATCGGGCCAACTGCCAAGCTCGGCAACAGATTCGGCCAGGTCACACTGCGCTTTCGGTCACAACTTCGGGCACGAGTTCGGTCTCCGATGTTTCTGGACGCCCGAGAAGGGCACGGACAAAAAGTGGGCACGATGCCCAACAGCAGATGCTGTCCCAAGCCAGCAGCGGCCGCTGTGGGGCAGGTGGCCTTCCGTCTCGAGTGGACACCGGCCGCGGCGGCGTGGACAGCGAGCCCCCTTCGAAAAATTCTCGGCGGCTCGCGGCCGGGTTTTCCGCGACGGGTTCGGCACCGCGCCCCGCGGGAGCGCGGCGCGCGGCCAGCTTCGCGCCCTCGCGCCGCTCCGCGCCGGAGCAGGGCGCCCTGCTCCGACCCGGAGCGGCGCTCTGCGGGGGCAGCAGGGAAGGGGGAGGAGGCAGGCCGGGCACGGAGGAGAGCGCCGGCTCCGGCTCCCAGGAGTCGGAGGGGCAGAGGTGGGCAGTGGGGGGGGAGAACGAAACTCCAGAGGATGTGGAAAGAGGCCTGGGGCTCTCGTCTGTTCGATGGTGTGTCCCGGGTCGCCTTCGGAGTATCCTCGCGCCCCTGCGGGTGACCGGGCTTCCGAAATCCCCGACGCGTGGAGGCTCCGACGACAGGCAAGCACCGTGAGGCAGGGCTCGCGTGCCAGAGGCTCCTGGCGCGCCTCCGCCGCCAGCTCGAGCACCTGAGGGACTCTCCGCCAGATGGGGGCCGACAACCATCAGAGGAGGACAAGGTACCCGTGCCGCTACGCTGCCCTCGTGTTCCTCATGTTGTTGGCCTCCTCGGGAGCCCTCGTTGCAACGGCTGGATGTGCCTCGAAACGCTGGTCAGAACGCAGCCCTGGAGAGGTCTGGGGAGCAGCGGTATCGGCACTCTCTGGCTTCCCCAAATCAAACAGCCGAATTTAACTCGTCTGGTCACTCACGCTCAAGTTGGCAAACGCCCCCTACTTCTGCTTCGGCGCGTCTCCTGCGCAAGTTCTTGGGAGTCCCAACAGTAGGGAGTCATACGGGAGGAGGTCTCACTACCACGAAGACTGGAATTCCGGGCAAAACAAGTGGTGAGCAGCGCGGTGGCCAAGAAACGGCGATCCCCTCCCCCCGGAGCAACATGGCACGCGCGGGCAGGAGGGGGAGGAGGAACGATGAGGAGCAGAGGAACCGCACGCGAGCGGGCAGCACAACTTCGCACCGGAGCGGGTTATGCGTGCGAGCGGACACGCAGAGAATATAACCCTTAACTGCCGAGCTGGGACTCGCCGAGCTCGTGCGGACAGCAGCGCAGACTGCGGCCAACGACGCAGGACAGCGCACGACAGGAAGATGGCCCGAGCTGCCACACTCGAGGGGACAGTCGAGAGCGAAAGGGAAGGGAGAAGGGAGAAGGGGGAGGCTGCGGCCCTGGCAAAGGCGCGGCCCGTCCCAACAGGTTGCCTCCAAGTGTGCCCTCCCACCGCTCCCCTCACCACCCTCTCACGCCCGACCTTCCTCCCTCCTTTCCTCTCCCCTTCCCCGCCTCCTTCCTCCATCAACCTTTCCCTCAACCTCTCCCGTCGGCCAGCCCGTCCCCCTCCTCTTCCTCCACTCTCGTCCTCTTCCTCCCCTGCCTCCTCCTCCTCCTCCTCCTCCTCATCCTCCTCCTCCTCCTCCTCCTCCTCCTCCTCCTCCTCCTCCTCCTCGCCTCTTCCCCCACGTGCTCATTCTACAATGAAACATAGTGAACAATACTCTGCTCTCCGCTGGTGGCGTCCGGGAAATGGCCCGTCCCCCTCCGCGCACGGGTTTCTTTCGCACACGATTCCCGGCACACGGGTGTTCGCTTGGATTTGTTTTCAGGATGCTGCTCTCGCTGCAGCACTGGCCTCATGTTCGGGCTACCGCTCGTTCCGAACCGTGCTCCCGCTGCAGAGGCTGGCCTCACTTCCGCGCTTCCGCTCGTTCCGAATCGTGCTCCCGCTGCGGCGCTGGCGTCACTATTTCCAGCGCCATGCCACGCCATCCATGGTGATCCTTCCAACTGGCCCCCAATTTCAGAAAATTCCCCCCGAAAAACCATCGGAAGTGATTACACATGCGGTGTCGATTCGTTGATATTTTGGGTCGCAGTGCCATGCCACGGCATGGTTCGGGGTCCTTCCAAATAGGCCAAAATCTACAAGATGGCCTCCAGAAGAAACCATCGGAAGAAATTACACATTCGGTGTCGATCATTTGATTTGTTGGGCCGCAGAAAGCCCCCCCCTCATGTCATGCTACGCGCTAGTATTCAACACCATGCTATGCCATGTAATGCTATGCCATGCTACGACATCCGATTGTGCGAACAGGCGGGAGATCTGCGCCATGGAAAGGGATGGGAGGGAAGGGTAGGACGTCAGATGTGACGCGAGCGCACCTAGCTTGCCCTGTTCCCCCTCCCCATCCCCCTCCTCCTCCTCCTCTTCCTCCTCCTCCTCCTCCTCCTCCTCATCCTCCTCTCCGGCCGCTCCTCTTCCCTCCCGAGAGGACGCGAGACAATGTTTGTGTTCCCGCGCCCCCGATCAGGAAAATCAAAAGGTACCAATACCGCTGCTCCACGGACCGCTCCTGGAGACCAGAAGTTAGAGGCGACGCCAGCGGTGGCGGCGACGGCCTTCGAGGAGGCCAAAAAGAGGCGAAAACGAAGGAAGGGTAGCGGTGCGGTTACCTTTTCCTTCTGTGACCGATGCTGCGTTCTGGTGGTGTGGATGCTGCGCGATGGCGGCGCGCACAAGCGGGTAGGGGGAGGAGGGGGAGGCTTCTTGGAAGGAGGCGGCTTCTTGAAGGCGCCGGACTCATCTATAGTCTATAAATGTAAAGCACGCGCCTTCTAAGAACCAGGGGTGCTTCTAAGAAGCCTCCCCCCTCCCCCATACCCCCCCTCTGCGCGTGGCTGACACTGCTGGGTCGACGACCACGACGACGACGACGACGACGACGACGACGACGACGACGACGACGACGACGACGACGACGGCCACGACGACGACGACGACGACGACGACGAAGACGACGACGACGACGACGACCACGACCACGACCACGACCACGACCACGACCACGACCACGACAACGACAACGACCACGACCACAACGGCGTCGGCGGCGGCGACGACGACGCTAACTGTCCACAATATGTCAGCCTCGAGTGCTGCAGCGCGCAAGGGCGAGTCCAACAGAAGCAGGCTGTGGCCGAGCCCGAGCGGGGGGCCGACCCCTGCTGCTGCCGCCCCCGCATCCCTCCCCCAACCCCCGAAGAAAGGCTGGCCAGGGGGGGCCCGAAACCGTGGCAGGTCCCTCCTCCTCCCCCTTCTCCCCTTCCTCCATTCCCTTTCCTTCTAAACAACTTCTCCCTGACGCACCCCGACGCCAGTTGCTAGGGCGGGCCAGGCGTTTTGTCTGAGACTTCCTCACCACCTTATGACCGTGAAGCTTAAAAATAGGCAAGAGCTTCACAAATGGAGGGCAGGTCGTTTTCAAAATGCGGCTCTCGTCTCAGCGCCGCGCAAATTAGTTTCAAATGTTCAAGAATTTCACAGGTTGAGGGCGACCCGTTTCCAAAATGTGGCTCTCGCATCACCGCCGCGTACATTCGCTGTGAAATGTTGCAAGAGGTCTCACGGATTGAGGGCGGCCCCATTTCAAAATGTGGCTCACGCCTTTGCGCCACGCACATTCGATATTGACAATTGCAAGGAGTTTCACAGACTCCCGTGATCAGCGTACCAGAAATGGCGTTTTGGAAAGACTCTAGATTATGAGGGCGCAACAGCTACGTTGATTCGCGGTCCCAGGAATGACGTTCTGGCACGATTCCGGATCGTCAAGACGCAACAATCAGGTTGATCCATGGCGTTCGAATCCCGAGAACAATGTTTTGGCATGCTTCAGAATTTTCAGACGGTTGTCTTCCAACGAGGCAGTTCCCTCAGTGGAAATGAACCGTTGTAGGGGCCTATGAAGAGAGAGCTTGGAGGGAAGGTTAATTCCAACATCGTTGATGACTCTTGTGTTTACGGTCCTCCTCCTCCTCCTCCTCCTCCTCCTCCTCCTCCTCCCTTTCAGCATCCTTCTCCTTTTTAGCATCCTCCTCCTCCTCCTCTTCCTCCTGCATTCGCGACTGCCTTGAACTCCTCCCTCCTGGCTCACATAGAAGGGCTTCAAACGAATGGAATCAGGCAGGCACACTATTTGTTCATTTGCTCGTATGTGGGGCGAGTAATGACTATCACGCAGACATTTCACCACCGCGCAGTCTCGCTGAGGTGCCCAACTCGGGCCGCGAGGACAGCGCATAACCAACGTACAGCCCCAGAGCGGTCGTACTGCGGAAGCTCTACGCCAGGCCGCGACCTTCCCCCAGTATGACAGGAACCTGGGACACCCAAAGAACTGGACACCATTTCCCAATATTTTCCTGGGTTTTGGTCTTCCCCCCCGCTTCCCATATTTTCCTGCATTTTCCGTGGGATCGACGATGAATTGTGTCTGTGTGTTTTCCCTCCTGACTAATATTCGGGTCGGGCGAAAGGGGGGGATAGCAAAGGGGGGGTTTGAGAATCAGCTCACGTAGCTGATTTTCCCCGCGCCTCCCGGCGCCGGAAGCGGCTATGTATCGAGGAATGGGCCCCTCGGTGAGGCCGAAACCAGCTGCATGCAGCAAATTTCGTAACCCCCCCTTTCCCAATCCCCCCCTTTCGCCCGACCCGAAATATGCTGCCCGCCGTCCGCACCAGGCACCCGTGCATACACTCGACGACGAGCGAAGAAAGCACGGCCAGCCTGGGGCTCCACGGGTCGCCCACTCAAATCCGCAGACCCTTGAAGGGGCCCTGGGACACACAAATATAAATGCACACAGATAGCAGGATTCCCCATATTTTCCCATGGTTTCTGGGTGTTCGCCTTCCCCCCCACTTCCCATATTTTCCCACACTTTCTGGAGGATCGACGATTGATTGTGTCTGTGATTTTCCCCTCCTGACACAGGTCGCCCACTCAAATCCGCAAGCCCTATCGGCGTGTGCGAGGGGGAATTCTGGGCCGGTCGTCTCTGGGTGGTCCTTGGATGCACTCCTATCCTGTCTCGAAGAGCTCGGCAACTCGTGGATATTCGTCGGGCTGCCTTCATGCGCTCGTCGGCTCCTTCGTGGCCTCCCTAGGGTCGGCAGAACCAGCCGTAAGGCCTCTCCTGGGCGATCGACATTGTATGTATGCCCCTGCTGAGGCCCCGTCCCACACGAGGCACCAGAGCGGGGCTACGGGTAAAACTCTGGCCCCGAGGCCACCTGGCGCCCAGCAGGGGGCAACAGCAGGGGCGGGCGCGGCTGTTACGTATTCGAGCTTCGAAGACGGCGCCCGTGCACCGCACGGCAAGTTCGTATCGTGACGACTTCGGCCATCGGTCTCTGACACCGCGTGGATGGTTCAGTCTGGACGATCGCGGATCTCCAAAAACGCAAATCGTTCAATGTTGGCCGAATTCGCGTCGCTGGTAGCGTTCATGGGGAAACCCAGAAGGTACCGATACCGCTACTCCATGGCCCTCCTGGGGTGCGCTCTGGCCAGAATTGCGAGGCAAATCCAGCAGTGGCGGAGAGTGGCCTTCGAGGAGGCCCAAGAAGAGGAAGACGAGAGGGAGAGAGGTGGCAGTATGGGTACCTCTTCCTCCTCCGAAGTTCGGGTCGCTGGTGGCGTTCAACCTTGAACGCAAGCGGGTCCGTCGTCGCTGGGTCGGCACGACACGAACCTGCCGCACCGAGCTGTTGGGCCACCCCCCTTCGCACACAGCGAGGCGCGACCGTCTTCGCGCCCTCGCGCCGCACCGCTGGAGACGGGCGGCCGCCCTGGCCCGGGCCGCTGCGCGCCAGAGGCGAGACTATCTCCTCGTGCCCTCGCGGATGGCCTGGATTGAGGTCGGGCGTGTCCTCCTACAGGCGGACTCTGGACGAAAAATAAAAAACTGCCAAACAAATCCAAAAATGATGAAGAATAGTCGACACATCGTCCCTCGACTATATTTTGACTATTTTTGGATCTTCCTCCTGTAGAGGGACGTGCCCGACTCAAGCCTGGATGCTTGCTCTCCCTCCGGGCGCCGCTCCAGCGCGGCGCGGGGCCCCCTTCCTGGATCGACGCCTCCAGAGGCGCCGGCGCGGCACGGTGCACACAGGTCGTCCGCCGACGCGGGGGGGGGCGGAGAGGTACCGGCTGCCATCGGTCGGAAGAAGCGGGCAGAAACATGAGGTAGGAAGGCGTTGAAGGTGGACTGGGTTGCGTCCGCCCACCCCCCCCGGGAGGAGGGAAAAGGTGAAGCCACTGGATGACTGAAGTAGGAAGGCGCTTAAAGTACATTGGAATCTGGGAACCCCAAAACACCTACTTTCAACGACCGACGGGTAATTACCGCTGCCCCTCGAACCACTCCAGGGGTGCGTTCCGACCAGAAGTTCGGGCCGAACCCAGCCGTGGCGGCGAGGGCCTCCCAGGAGGCACGAGGAGGCGAAAGCGAGGCAACGGAACATGGGTACACGGTACACGCAGGTCGTCCGTGGACATGACGTGGTCCAGTACTACAAACTCCTGACTCCATGCAGACTCCGCGCTGGCTCCCCAGAGGGCGACGAGACCTATACATAAGTCATCCACTGCTCCCTGGCCCGGCTCATCCTCCTGAACCCAGCAGCGGTGCATGCGCCACGCCCCCTCCTGGCTCGGCCAGGAGGGCGTCTACGCAGCTCCTGGGTGCAGGGCGGGCCTGGCCTGGGAGCAGTGGACATACAAGATCCCGTCGCCCTATCCCAAAGGGGCCTCCAGCCGCTTCTGCGCCATGGACAGGTCCACCGCGGCCTCGGGGCCGAGCCTTCGGCACTCGTGGATGGCGGCCTCCGGGGGAGGCCCGGGGCCGGAAGGAGGCGCGGCGTAAGATCTGAGGCGAAAACGGGCTGGAGGAAGAACAGAAACATAAACTGTTGGCGCTCCGCTCGGATTTCTTGGATCAGTTGGCGCTCCGCGCGGAGTTCTCGGATCTGCGCAGGACGCGCGCCAGGGGCGGCGCTGGAGGCGCCGCCGGGGGGCCCCAGGCGCCGATCCAAGAAATTCGCGCGGAGACCAGAAAGTGTATGTTTATGGCGTTTTTCCCCCGAATTCGGACGGGGCTGCGAGTTGGAATACGGACAACCCGTACAATAAGGATGCGCGGTAGGGATACAAGGGCCCTGGAAGGCCATGTCGACACTCTGCGGGCGGGGCGCGACCAGCGAGAGCGGCAAAGGATGGGCTGAGGAGGCGAGGATGCAAACGTGGCCTTGGAAAGTCGTTCATCCTTAATACGCGAGTCGACTGTAGCTTCCACGAGCGAGACACACTATCCTTTGAGACCTGGTGTTCGGAAAGCGCGTCTTCAATATGCGTCTGCGTTCCCTCGACCCTCCCTCTTTCTGCACAAAATCCCACCAGCCCTTTGGGCGACAGGTGGTCTAAGGGTGATATCCTTTTCTTCCAGTCCTATTCCCTTCGGGGAGGGGAGCCCTCCCCCTCCCCTCCCGGGGTTTTTTGGGAGGGGGACCGATGTGTCAGAGGGTCCTTTTGCGGCCAGCGGGAGAGCCCATGTTTGACACCCCTCACGAGGATCGTGGCCCCCGAGGGGGGGGCAGACATCGAGGATCCCCCCTCTTTTGACCGACCGCCTTCAAAATGGCCCAAGAGGCCCTCCAGGCTCCCAAGAGGCCCCCAAGAGAGCCCCAAGAGCGCCCCAAGAGGCCCCAAGAGGCCTCCAAGAGGCACCCGAGAGGCGCCCGAGCGGCACCCAAGAGGCTCCCAGAGCGGCCCCCCGAGAGGCCCAAGAAGCTCGCCCGAGGCACGCAAGACGCCGTCTCGTCCTCGCCCTCCTCGTCCTCGTCCTCGTCGACCGTCTCGTTCATATCCTCCTCCTCCTCCTCCTCAGCCTCCTCCTCCTCCTCCTCCCTTTCCTCCTCCTCCTCCTCCTCCTCCTCCTCCTCCTCCTCCTCCTCCTCCTCCTCCTCCCCCTTCGATAAGTCGAAGCGGCGATCGAAACGGATCGGATCGGCGGAAATCGGGAGCAAAGGCGGGAGAAGTCGAATCGGCGGAAACCGGCAGGCTGGTAGGCCCCCAAGTGAGACATCGGACCCCCAAGACTCGGAATCCAAAAACATCGGATCGGCGTCGGAAGCCGAGATCGCATCGAATCGCATCGAGATCGGAGCGAGAGCGAGTCAAATCCGAGAGCGGCTCGAATCGAATCGGCCCCGAGGGACCGAAGAGGGGCCCAAGCGTAGGGGAAGGCAGCGCTGGGGGCGCGCAGGGGCAGCGGGAGGGGGGGGGCGACTGGAGGCCGGGGGGGAGGGGGGGGGAGGTAGGGGAGGAGACGGCGGAGGACCCTTCTCCTCCTCCTCCACCTCCTCCTCCTCCTCCACCGCCTCCTCCTCCTCCTCCTCCTCCTCCTCCACCTCCTCAGCATCGCCCCGGAGCGGGGACAGCCTCGGCTGCACGCAAAAGCGACCCTGGGCAAGCGTGACCTTCAGTGCGCGCAGCAAGGTCCGCCCGAAAACATTGTACAGTGCGGGCGCGGCCGCAAGAAACCCTCGCAAGAAACCCAACCCTGAAGACCCGCGCGCGAGGTGCGCCTGAGGGGAAACGTGGAGCACCCTGAACGCAGCAGCTCCTTCAACGGCTGCGGGAAGTCACCGCGCAACGCGAGGAGCGAAGAAACCCAGGGTATCCTGACGGAAAGCATATGATTTCTTGATGCGCGCCTCCACTGTACCCCAAAAGCCCCGAAGGCGAGCGAGGGTCCTGGTCGTGTGTCTGGTGTACAAGCTTCCCTGCATGGGGCGTGGCGTTGTACACTGAAAGTGGCCCCAGGCGATGGAATCTGACTGGGGCGGGCAGCGCATGTTTACAAAAATATCGAGAACGAGAGGGCGCAAGGAAGCCAAATCCAAGCACGCAAGCAGCCATTGTCGCATCGCGCTCAGCGATCGGAAGGGCCCATGGTGAGCCCGCACCAAAGGCCCCGCTGGCAAAGGGTCACTCTTGCGTGTAGTCGACAGCCGGAGAGGGGGAGGCCGGAGCAGGGCTCGAGTCAACTGGTGCTTCTCGCTCTCGTGCTGCTGTCGTTATGCCTCGCTCTCCAAAAAACATGAAGCGGGCGGTTCTTGGCCGTTTTCGACCTCCAGGGGCCCATGCCAGACCTCGGGACCGTCAAAAAATAAACTCGGGAGGAAACCCGGCCATAGGGAAGTGGTCCAGACCTCTAGGGCCCACGCATCGAAAAAATATGAGCAGCCAGATGTCTGGGTCTGCTGCAAGCCGAAGTCAAGACGAAAGGGGCCCGAAGAGTCGCCAAAACACCGCTTGGCTCGAGCCCAGGGCCGAATGCAGAGAGGCTGGAGGCAGCAGCGAAGGGCAGTGCAAGGGGCAGGGGGCCGGGGGAGGAGGCCAGCTGCTCTCGAGATAGAACGCCATCGGTGCAGGCACTGCTCGCCGCTTGGAGAACCGATGTGCACCACATGGCTAGATGCCTCCCAAATGGGGCTCGAGCAGATGGGGTCAGAGGATCGCGCCGCATCGCCCATGCATCGCCGATGCATCGGCGATGCAGCGACGATGCGCTGGCGACGTCGCCGATGCATCGGCGGCGTCGGCGTGGACAAAGTCGGGCTCCGCATCGAGCCGCATCTGCGATGCAGCGGCAGTGCGACGCGATCCTTCGACCCCACCCTCGAGGACCCCACCCGGGAGGCCCAGAATGGCGAGGGGGGTCTCCGTGGCTGCGCCGGCGGCGCCCAGGGCAAGGGCGGAGGGCAGTCCGCTCGCCTCCGAGGCGGAGCCCCTGTCCGTGCGGGCACTGCGAGGGAGAGGTCTCCGTGGCCGCACGTGCATGTGCGGACCCCGTCGTGGAGGGCCCAAGGCGCGGGAGGCGAACGCTCTCGCGCTCGCCCGTGAAAGAAATCAGCGTGCACACACGCGCATGCACACACGTATGAGCACGCACACACGTGCATGCAAGTAAGTACATACATGCATACAAACATGCGCGCACACACACACACACACACTAACAAACAAAGCAACCGACCAAACTCTGTATATCCCTGTGTAAATATATACACATATCTATATATATATATATATCCTCCTCTCTCTCTCTCTCTCCCGACTTTTCTCCCCCTCTCTCTCTCGATCTACATATGTATATATATATATACACGTGTACAGACGTGCAGTGTATTTACATGTAACTGTATGTACACATTTATGTGTGTATGTGTGTCACGCTCTCCTGGGTCACCTGCCTTTGCGCAACGCGCGTCGCGCCCCGCGATGCGCGACGCGCGGTCATCTTCCCACCATCGCGAGACCGCCTTGGAGAAGGGCAACAATCTGGCCTTCCTCTCTCTCTCTATCTGTCTCTCTTTCGTTCGCTCTCGCTCTCTCGCTCTCTCTCTCTCTCTCTCTCTCTCGTTCTCTACGAGACCACGTACGGCTGAGACTCGAAGAGAACGCGTGTGCGCTGTATATGGACGATGGGCATGTGGAAAGACGTAAAGCGGAGCGCGTGTCGGTGACTGCGTAGGGCGGCTACGATCAACAGGCTAGGCTTGTATGATTAGTGCGTGTTGCTGTGATGTCGGCCAATCGGGCTCCAACACAAATACTGTGAAGAAGGTTTGACAAACGCGCTACTGAAGCACAGCAACGCAGAACTGCGATAGTCGCGGTGTGTGGAACTGCGGCATATCGGGTAAACCAAGGGCGTCATTCCTGTGGAGCTGCCATCAACACTCAAAAAGAGGGAGCTCCACGATCCGCCGCCGTGCTGCCTGGCACGTTGAGCTGTCGAATGACAAATGCTGCCTCGCAGGGTTCCCGCAAGAGTTCTGCGCCCCCCATGGCTTTGCAGCATCCGTTTTCCAAGAAAGCCTGCGCGCTCTCGCGCATTCTTGACAGCACCACCGATTTTTTCAACACTGACATCAAATTCTGCCAAAAGGGGCCCCTCCCAGCACATCCCTGCGTGCATCGCTCCCCCCCCATTTGATCCTCCCCGGGGCTCCTGGGCGCCTCGATGGCTCCCTGGCTCTCTCCAAGGCGCCCAAGACGGCGGATCCGAAGATGGCCATCCAGACGAGCTACTCACAGCGCCAACAGGCCCCGAGCTTGCCTCCATGCGGCCAGGATGACTCAAACACCACCCGAGATCGCCTCGAGACGGCCCAACAGGCCGTCAAGACGGCCCAAGAGAGCTCCTGTTTGCCTGGCACAGAACACCCGAGCTGGCCCAAGAGAGCTCCAGGAGGACCTCCGGGAAGGCTCGAAGAGGTTAACATCGCACGTGGTCCTCAAATGTTTGACCGACTTTCGCGTTCTCGCCTTCCGGGGCTTCCGACATCCCAGGACCCAGAGGCCTCCAATGTAGCCCCAAGACGACGCCCAAGAGGTGCCCACGCAGACCCAAAGAGGGCCCGCGACGCGTTCACAGTGGCCCAGGAGACCTCCAAGACGGCTCCAAGGCAGCCCAAGGAGGCACCACGACCAACGAACCCAAAAGGCGACTCTTCAGGCCCTAAGAGAGCCCCGAGATGGCCCAGAGAGGCACGCAAGACGGACTCCGAAGGCGCCAAACTGCACAAGAGCGACCTAAGACAGCCCAAAGGAGCCCCCAAGTGGCCCCGAGAGGCCCCCAAGACGCCCCGAAGAGGCCGTCAAGCCACGCCAACGTGGCCCTCATTGGACCCTAAGATAGGAGGAGAGGCGAAGAGGAAAGGAGGAAGACGACGACGACGAACACCAAGACACCCCGACACGACGCTGAAGAGCGTGTCCGTGTTGCGGCTCCCCCGAGCCTCGGCACGAGGAGTCGCACGTTACTGTTCCCTTTGCGCTCCTCGAACTGTCGCCACAGTTCAAACTGAGTGGCTGGCACGGGGGCGGGACTTGCCGCATGCAGGACAGGACAAGACGCGCGAGTCTGCCAGCTGGCCGGTCGACAGTCCCCTTAAGAGCGGCGCGGGTGGGCTGGAGCCCTCTTATGCCTCGGTGAACCTCAAGAAGCCCGTCTCCAATCTCTCCCATCAGTCGCAGGTTGTAGTTGTCACACGATGGTAACCGCGCAGCGAGCCCACTGTCATCTCCAAAAACTGTGTAGCATCATCTCTCCACCGTTTGCGATGTCCGTCACATACCGGCGGCGTGCTGCGACAGGCGTCCGCGGGCAGCTGGATCTGGATGCAACAAGGGCCAGCGCAGGGGCCGCGTGGGGTACCAGGCCAGCGCAAGGCAGGTCCTTCCACGCGGGGCGTGGGCCATGCAGGGCACCTCGTGGGCCGCGGGCGGAACTGTGAGCACCTACACCCTGCGAAATGCTTAAGAAATCATGGGTTAAGAAATTCATAGTCTCATAACTTGAATAAACACCCAACATTTCCATGAAAATCTCAAGATTTACATTGAAACGTTAAGAATAATCGAGACTCTGGCCGAAAACTTAAGTTTTCTTAAGCATCGCCTAAGGTGTAGGCCAACGTGCGGCCGGTTCGCTTCGGGACGTCGCGGGCGTTGGTTTCCGACGCCGGGCGGAGCGTTCCAGCTCGAACGATCGCGGCACTCCGATGGACAAGTCGCTCGGCATCGGCCGCTGGTGGGTCCCTGGCGGCGCTGGGGTCGCGGCCACGTCAACGCGGCGCAAACCTGCCTCTGGCAGATCCTGCCACCTTCCAGATAAGCATCATAGTCAGCATGTGCACACTCGACGGCCGTCCTCCTTTGGGCCACAGGGGTGCCGACCTCCCGCAGACGGATGCCGTCAGAAGTTGTAGGTCCTATGGCTCAGCTGGACGCCCGTTGCGGTAATCAGCATGGTCGATAAGACAATTCCACTCGTTTCTGATCCGCCTGGCGGCGGTGGCGACAGAACCAGCTGCTCGAAATTGTGAGATGTGTTTCTACAACGAGCTGCTCACTGGCAATAAGTGTGGCAGACGGCAAATCAATCGACTCATTGAATGCAAATGTAAATCGTGAAGCAATATTCAGCTATCGCTGGAGGTTGAATTGACGTCGTAATGGACGCGGAGAGCGGCTCAACTCAGTGGGAGCCCGTCCGGTGGTGTCCACGTGGCTCCTTGGGTGACCGAACCAGCGGTCAACGGTAACATAGTGGGAACGGGTGGCCGAGTCTGAAACATATGATGCGTTGAATAGACCTGAGGGCGTCGAGAGTGGAGGAGGGGAAAGACTGAAGTCGAAGTTGAAGGAGGGGAAGCAGGGAGGCAGGGAGGGTAAGAAAGAGGATGGGGCGAGGGAGGTGGGAAGTCGGAGCGCAGCGAGGGAGGCAGGAGAGCGTGAGGCAGGGAGGGAGAACGGTGGGGAGGAGGAGGGATCCTCCTCCACCTCCTCATCCTCCTCCTCCTACCCCTCCTCCTCCTGCCCCTCCTCATCCTCCTGCCCCTCCTCCTCCTCCTCCCGCTCCTCCTCCTCCTCCTCCTCCGCCTCCTCCTCCTCCTCCTCTTCCTTTTCCTCCTCCTCATCCTCCGCCTCCTTCTCCTCCTCCTCCTCCTGAGGTCCTCCTCCTCCTCCTCCTCCTCCTCCTCCTCCTCCCCCGCCTCCTCCCAGGAGGAAGAGGGAGGAGGAGGAGGAGGGGAGAAGGAGGAGAAGGAGGAGGAGGAGGAGGAGGGACGGGAGGGCGACGCGGCAGCAGCAGGAAGGGCCCCGCGAGGCCGAGCGACACCCCTCAGAGCCCGAGGCCCGAGGAGGCGCGGCGCGCCCCGCCTTCAGGAGCTCCGGCTGCTCGGAGGCCATCCCGGTCTTCAGCAGCGCCAGGCCGCGCTTGCGCTGAGGCGCGGCCGCGCGGGGGGGGGGCGAGGAGACTTGGGCCCTCAGCCTCCTCCTCCTCCCCCCCTTCCTCCTCCTCCTCCCTCCTCCTTCTCCTCCTCCTCCTCCGCCTCCTCCTCCTCCTCCGCCTCCTCCTCCTCCTCCTCCTCCTCCTCCTCCTCCTCCTCCTCCTCCTCCTCCTCCTCCTCCTCCTCCTCCTCCCTCCTCCTCCTTCCTCCTCCTCCTCCTCCTCCTCTCCTCCTCCCTCCACCTCCTCCTCCTCTTCCTCCACCTCCTCCTCCTCCTCCTCCACCTCCTCCTCATCCTCCTCGTCATCCTTCGTGCGTGTCGTTCGCCCACACACAAACAGATGCATATGTGCATGCACATGCACAATTACAGAGAAAAGTAGGTCCCTCTCTCTCCCACCCTCTTTCCTGGCTTGTCCTCGCTCTCTCACACTCTCTCCCTCCCTCTACTGCTTCACTCTCTCTCTCTCTTTCCTTCACTTTCTCGCTCTCTCTCTCTCTCTCTCGCTCTCTCTCTCTCTCTCTTTCTTTCTCGCCCTCCCCCTCTCACCTTCACTCCCTCCGTCTCGCTGCATCATCATTCTTATCATCACCGTCCACCACCATCATCCGCCACCCACCATCCACAGCGCATCACAAATCACCAACCATCACCATCGCCAAAAGCAACAAAAACCATCCTGCTTCCTTCTCACCGACCTCGTCGTTACACGTCCTTCCCCCGTGGCAACCCATTTGGCAAGATGCTAGCAGAGCGAGAGGCCGCATCGGTGTAAACTGCCGCTTCTTGCCAAAACATTCAATCGGTTATGTTTAGCAATTCCGTGCGCGAGGATGGGGGGCATGGCCCTCCTCCAAATGTAAAAGCTGAGGAGCCGTTTAGGGTGCCTTTGGGGCAAATGCAGCGCAATGCCCGATACCCCACCTGCATGGCCCACCGTTGAAACCCGCCGGAATTGATCCACCATCACTACCATCAGGAACACACACCAACACCCCCATCGTCATCAGCACCAGCTTCATCATCAGCAGCGACAACACCAATGGCATAATGATCTACATCACATTCATCATCATTCCATTGTTAGCACAATCGTACCAGGAATAGTACTCAGCCTCATCACCAACATAATCAGCAACAGTACCATCATCATCAGCAGTATCATCATCAGCAGCATCATGACCAGCATCACTATCAGCGTAATCAGCACCATCAGCTTCATCACCATCAACATCCGCATCACAACCAGTACCATCGTCTTTAGCAGCATCAGCAGCATCAGCAGCATCAGCATCAATATCATCAACATCATCATCAGTAGCAATAGCAGTATCCGCATGATCAACAGCATCAGCATCATCACCACCATCACCATCAGCATCATCACCCTCATCGTCAGCAGCATCATCACCATCACTACCAGACGCAATAGCATCATCAGCATCATCATCAGCATCAACATCCCCATCGTCATCAGCATCCGCACCATCGCCATCACCACCACCACCACCATCGTCATCACCACAACCATCAGCGCATCAGCATCATTAGCATCATGACCACCATCACCAAGACCATCGCCATCACCATTCGAACCTCCATCACCATGACAAGAATCAGCATCATGAGCAGCATCGGCACAATCCCCGTCACCCCAGCCATCGTCATGCGCATCACAACCCTCAGCGTCGCTATTCACCATCATCGCCATCAGCATACCATCACCAACACAATCAGCATCACACTTAATCATTATCAGCATCATCAGCAGCGCATCAGCATCAGCAGCAGCAGCATCGTCCACGTCAGCACCACCACCACCAGCATCATCATCACCTTAAGCAACATCATCATCATCAGCATCAGCCGCATCATCAGCAGCAGCATCACCAGCGCAATGACCATCGCCACCATCTTCATCATCAACACCATCATCATCAGCAGCATCAGCATTATCATGACCAGCATCATCACCATCAGCAGCATCATCATCACGCGTGGCCATTTGGGCTAAATATGGAGGGATCATGGAGGGTGCGTGGCCCCATGTGGCTGGCCCCATGTGGTTGATCCCATGCGTCAGATCTCAATCGACCAAGCCTTCAGCGAGGCCTCCGCGGCCAGTCTTTTAGTGTCCAAAACATCCTTTCCGACGCTTGGCCCCAGTCGCCCGATTGGCGGCCCTGCCTGCGCGGGCCCGACCAATGGCAGGACGCGGAGTCGGCGTTCAGCGGCGGCGGCAGAGGCAGCAGCGGAGGCAGACAAGGCGGCGGACCGACAGGCGGCAGCGGCGGCACGCACAGCCAGCCAAAGGCCTGGGACTGCCCGCAGCGCTTCGCCAACAAGAATCGGGACACCAGGCACGTCTGCCGAGGCTGCGGGTATAACTGGCGTGGGCACAGATTTGGAGGCTCGCGGTGGCGCGACATGTCTCAACTGGACGCCGAGGAACGCTAAGAGCTCAGCCAATTGCAGCATAAGGTCAAGAAGCTCGAAACAAGCGGACACGCATCTGGCAACTTCGGAGCACGTTGTGCAACCGACGCCCAGCAGCAGGAAAAAGATGAGCGCGCACGTCGCCTCGGCAAGCTACGAAGCGACGCCAAGAAGCCTGATGGCGTGGAAGGCGAGGAAGAAGCTGTCGCCACCAAGCGCCGCGAGGCAGAGCAGCTCGAAGAGGAGCTCGCCGAGGAGAAGCCCACGCCCGTTCTGCCCAGCGAAGCGGGGCGCAAGCAGAAGAACCAGAGAAGCACGACGGAGGCGCCTGAGCGGCAGATCAACGACATCACACAGGAGCTCAGCGCGCCCCGGGCCAACGAGCTCGAGACCCAGGGCGAGCGGGAGCAGAGCCAGGCCGTCGACAAGGAGCCCCAGGCCCTCATCGAGAACCTCCTGGCCAAGCACCAACGGGAGCGCGACGGCGAAACACGGGGGAGAGGCAGCGACGCGGGGGGGGGGGCGGCGACGGCATCGACATCCCCAGCACTGGCAAGCGACCACCGTGGAGCCTAGAACCTCAGCGAAACTGAGCGCGCCAACACCTTCCTCGCATCCTCGGGCATGCCCAACCCAGAGCGCCCCGAGCAGCGGGAGGCGCAAGTTCACGAATTGCGACGTCTGGCGCAGGGAGTCGCAGCCGACGGATCCGCAGCGGAGCGGAGCTGGCGCGGAAGGAAGCGCCGCGCGGCCCAGCGACCCAGCAGCCAGGGCAGCCGCCCTCAGGCGGGCCGGGGCGGCCAGGCCTCTCCGCCGGGGCTGCGCGCCGCGCGACGGGGGGAGGGCGCGGGCGGCGCGCCTGGCTTCACCATCGCCTGCCGCAACGGCGGCGGCCGGGGCTCTTTCCAACCCGCCCCTGAGCAAACGCAGCGACCCGCAGCGGGAGATGGCGTTTCCGCTTCACCTCGGGGGCGTCGGCGCATCCAGGAGCATCACCCGGGCGGCCGACGCGCGATCGAGCAGGAGCAGAGGCGCCGCCAGGCTGGATGGAGCGCAGCCCCCACCCCGGGCGTCGTCGCCGCGGGGGCGAAGAAGCATAGAGCGCCCACCGGCGGCACAGGCATCGCAGTCCGCCCGGTCGGCGGCACGCGCGGCCACGGAGAAGGAGGCGCCAAAGAGAACTGCCACGCGAGCGACGGTAGAGCGGTAGAGCCACGACCACGCACATCAACGGCGCGATACCAGATGGCTTCCTGCTCGGCTTCGTGCACTTGGACAATGACAACGCGGGCGAGAACAGCAAGTCGGTCACGCAGGACACGGGCATGCTACTCGCCAGACCGGGGGGGCCCTGGATCCTGGCAGGCGATTGGAACGTCGAACCCGACAGGTTCCACGAGCGCGCAGCGCACTGACCTGCAAGGCGAGGGGCTACGTCGCCGACTCGGAGGAAAGGTGCTAGAGAAGGAGGCCTCCGAGCTAGACTGGTCCATCGCCAGCGCGGAAATGCTGGATTGGGTCACGGGGTGCTGTCGCCACGACATGACCATGCCCGGGCTCGCCAATCCCTGCAGGCCCCACATGGCGGTCAAGGTATCCCCGATGTGTTACGACGACCTCGACCAGTCCTTGAGGGCCAAGGGTCCGAGGGCATTCTCCAAACTTCGGCCTTCTGGGCCGCTGCACCGCAGGACATGGGATAACGACGCGGCGCGGACGCAGATCGACCAGGACGCGGCTTCGACGACCTCGAACCTGTACGCGGGCGCGGAAGAGCTCGTCTGGGCGCACCAGATGGACCCTGACGACGAGGCCTTCAACGGCGGTCGCAGCTTCGGGGCCCAGGCGCGCGCTCGACCCACCGAGGGGCCCAATGCGAGCTACAGAAGAAGCTGATGCACCTGAACGACAACTTATCGCAGGTCCGCCTCGCCCTGTCGCCGACGGCTGCGTCGGTCGGGGGGGCGGCGCAGAGCTCCCAGGTCGACCGCGGCCCTGCGAGGCGCGTGGCCGGGCGCGTGGACGCTCGGGCCCCGCAGAGATCCAAGCGGGCAGCGCGGCGCCGAGCGCGAACCCGGGCATCTCACCCGAGCAGCCCCGACGCGCGCGAAGACAACGACGAGTGGATGAAACACTGCGCCCCGCACATCTGCCGCACGCTGGGCCCGCCCGCCCACCCGCGCCACCAAAAGCCTGGCGCGGGACTTCGAGGGCCGCATGCAGACCGCGATCGACGCGCGCGCAACTGCGCGGCGTCGCGGGGCAGGCGGCAGGCAGGACACGGCGCGCATCTTCTGCCAGTTTAGGACGAGATAATGAATATATTGACGCAGCTGCGTATTGAAACGTTCCAGGGATTCCGGGATACCCCGCGGCCTTCGCGCGGGGCGCACTTTGCGTCGGGCACTGTCTACTCTGACTGGCACCGCTGGTCGGTCACCCATTCGCAATCGAGTAGTCGCCCGTCGGAGGTTAATCGGCACTCGCTAATCCCCCTTCTCGTTGCCGAGCGCAAGGCGGCCCCGTCGCCCGCCGCCCCGCACTGCGCGCCTCAA